TAAAAAAAAAAAAAAAATAAAAAAAAAAAATAAAATAAATAAAAGATCAGAAAAGCAGAAATACGCATTGGGATCCTTCGAAAATTCTTATTTAGATTTAAACAAAACAGCTAATAAGCAAACGCGCTTGTTTGTTTGTTTGTTATTGTGTTGTAACTTCTACTTTGCACGTTGATTGGAATACAAATGCGACTTAAGCGCTTATGTATAAATGGATATATATATATATAAATCTGATTGGCATATTTTCTGCTCAAACCCGTTCAACAAAAACAGCGAAAAAATTCTAATTGAAGGCATAAAAATGATGATTTAAGTTTAAAATACAATTTTGTTTTTAAGATATTCTGTAATACATACATATATAATAATATGTTGACCAGACATTACTCAATATCAACTAAACGTATGAGCGTTAGTAACAAATGTGAAGTGTGTAAAATATGAAAATCTAACATTGAAAACCTCACCATATATTCGCAAAAATAAATTTGCAAAGAGACACAATTGAAAATAATAGAATTCTTTATGCTTATAAATTGTCCATAATACAAGTCAGTTGCAAAAAAAAAAAAAAAAAGGTTTCAAACGTGCGTTTCAACATTTTTTTTTTTTTTTTTTGAAATCTTATTTTTTGTTAGTTTGTTTGTTGCATTTGAGGCTGATACGTTTCTTAGTAATTACATAGGGTTGATTTCATTAAAAGGCATATATATTGCGTAGATACTATTCAGTGTATATTTTTGTGTGGCGAGTGGTGCTTTTCTTAGTTGATTGTTATGCTTAACGTTAGCAAATATTGTGTGTTGTGTTATTGGTGTTTTTGCAAAAGTGGGTTGATTGTAATTATGCATATTAAGTTTAATAAATTATGCTTACTGTTTTCATTTCAATATAGTTTCAGTCTACCGACGTATTACTTCTCAATTCATTTACCTCGTCGTTTTTTCTCTTCTCTGTTCTTTTTTTCATTAATAGAAAGAATGACATATGTGAATACATTTAAATATAAAGTTTTAATATTTAATTTTTTTTTTTAGCTAAAATAAAGTTACGGTGTTCTCGGTATATTAAAAATACATATGTATGAATTGAAAATATTTATAAAATAAGTATCTACTCTAGGTCATTAAAGAAAACTGTAATTAAAAATATGTTTTTATTTTAATTTTTTTTTTTTAGGGCTAACCGAACATCTATCTTTTTTGTTGCTTTTAAAAAGACAGCTTATTCTGTTTGTTTCTGCTTAACTACAACTTAATCAAAAACAAAAAAAATTAGAGTTTATAAGTATTCCAATTGATAATTAGCCCTTAACCATTGTTAAGTTAATTAACTTGTTGATTTGTCAACATTCATCCTATTTTAATTAGATTCCAGCATGTATTTGAGGTACTCTGTTCCCTCGTACCGTTCTCCATAACCTCGTAATATATAGGTATATACTATATATTATATAAATTTATATTTATATTTATATTTATATTTACTTAACGGCAATTGTAATGGTATTGAATATACAGTTACAATATTGTGAAGAGTTACTACGTGATGAGAGCTTAAATTGAAATGTTGTTGGCTTAGGTGGTTTTAATGTTAATAATTGTTGTGATCTCGAAAGGCACTATAAAAATGTTTTGTTTGCCTTAAGTAATCTAGATTTACCCGGGTTGACTCTACATTTTAGCTGTTGTATCAAATCGGAAATCTTCAACGCAGGTCCCACTTTCATACCGAGCAACGTAATTATTTCATCCTTAGATAGTTGTAATAAACGTTTGCCATCGATTTTATTTCGCAAAAAAGTGTCACAATGCGCCGTACAATCATTAACTCTTAAAAATTGTGAAACATCATAAACGTTCCATGTGTCGGGTATAAGGTCTGCTTGTGGGTCCGCGTTTTGACTGTTGTTACCACTACTGCTGCTGTTGTTGATTTCATTCGAAGATGATTCAATAAGACGCGGAATGTACTTGCTATTACTAACGGCGGAGTTCTATATATAAACAAAATAGGATTTTTTTTTTTATTAAATTTTTACATATATTTTTATTCATTATAAGTAGAACTAAAATTCTATTAGACATACCCCAATGTAACTGGTGGCCTTGCGTCCAACTACCGGCGGTGCTGGTGAAACTGATTTCTTTACAGCTGCATTGCCGCTTCTCATTACCGCCGCCGGCTGAGTCACCGTGCTCGTTGTCTTTTCAATTAATGACTGTTGACTGCCATCATTGTGCGATAACGGTGTTGACTGCCCTGAACGATGACTAGTACTGTCTTCCTCATACTCTACATCATCATCATCATCTTCATTATTATCTTCATAGAAAGCGGCATTATGATGTTCTGGCTTAAGTTCGAGTTTAATGCTTAATTTGGGAAGATGTGGATTCGTTTTCAAAGCGATTGTACGTGGTTTAGCTAGATAAATAATCCGAAATATATGTAAATACACTAATTCGGCATAATGATATATAGAGTAAAATATCTACCTGTATTTGAAATTTCACCACCTTTTGCTATTGACTTTTTCTTACGTTTTTTCGGACTTTTCGCCTTGGTGTTCACTTTGGCGGTGGCCTGTATCGGCACTGGTGGACCCTCAAGTTTGTGATTTACAAGCACACACCAACCTACTGGATAAACATCAGGCGATTCGCAATCCAGCCATTGATCATACTCATCCGTCCAGCCGTCAAAGTGTATTTTGAGTAAACGCCCAACAATACGTGCCACAGTTGCTACACATACTAATCGTGGATCCATTAGATCAGCACATTCAAGACTCATACCGACCTAAAAAATTCGTATTGAATTATATATTGATTAATTGAGAGCAATTAATGATTTGAACTGCTCACCTGAAAACCATGATTTGGCACAATGCGGTGAAATAAATGTTGACCAGCTGCAATACTACCCGTTTCCTGCAAATAAGTTTCCCAGTTAAAGGTGTTAATGTCATAACCATTTGGTGGTGTCAATGTGATATTATTGGATGCACAAAAGCCAACGGGAAATATGCTCGGTGACTTCTCGTGATAGCAAAACCTATATAAAGAAAGTTTCACCATCAATATCTAGGTTATTCTTCTAACTCGCATGCGTTAAGCTCACCAATCTGACCCGGTAGCATCTGGTTGATAAGAATCAATACGTATCATTATGTAACCAAATTTCAGCACTGCCATAACTGTAGCTGCACAAATTGATGAAAGATTTAACGGATCAACGGCCTCCAATTTCATGCCTTCCATAAAACCATTGCCTTTGCCGTCCATATAGTATTCTTCGAAAGTGAAATTCATTTTAAAAAGCTCAATAGTTGCATCATCTTCATGCACTTCAATCATTGCCTCTCTGCCAGCTGTAAAAAAGAATTCAACATTAGATTTTCAAAAATTTTAATAATCACCGTCTTTCAACTTACCCAACATGCGTTCCAAGTAATCATGTGGTGCCGCTAAATTATGACCCACTGTAGTCGCCCAACCAACCGGATGTATAATGGGTGAATCCTCATGACACCAAAAACCATCATCCGAATCAAAGTATCGTAAAAACAAACGTTTTCCTACAATTTTTGTCACAGTTGCTAAGCGAACTTGTGAGATTCGATCCTTGTCAACACACTCTAAATTTAAACCTAAACGAAATCGTGATTGCATACTATCATTGATTTTGTTATAAAAGCTGGAGGGCAGAGTGCGTGCGCCAGACAACCGCTCGACGAGAAAATCTTTCCAATCCTTATATTTGTTCTCTATCGTTCGAGGCGGTATTAGAGGTTTACCACGGGTCGCACACCAACCAACTGAATGCACTTCCGCATTGCAAAGGTTAACCCAGAAGTCATGTGTGGGCTCATCGAAGCCTGCAAAAATTGAGAAAAAATAATTATTTTTTTTTTATCTACCAACATGATGAAAGAAGCTTAACACTTACCTTCGTAACGCATGAGAGCTTTATAACCGCAAATATTTAAAATCGTCGCAACCCAAAATGAATGTGGCGTTTGACCCGGCTGTACTACTTCCGTATTATCACAATCTGTGTTCTCCACCTCCACCTTCATGTCAATACCGATACTATCCCATACTTCATAACCAGGTGCATGGGGGAAGCAAGTTACGGGTGCAGCGAAAAAGTTGGGATGTGACAAACGCAGCGTCCAGTCAAACGAATGAGTCGGATCATACATACGGCGTCGTATACTAATTATCTTTTCCATTTGCGGGCAGGAAACTGGTAGACGTTCAAATTTCGGTATTTGCGGCAGGTCCTCTTGTGGCAATACATCGCGGTACATTTGTAGTGCTTTGGGCGTGGCAACTAAACTGCCAGTATTTAAACTTAATGCCCCATCCTCAGTATTTACGGTAGACAATCCTCCAGTGCCGTCCACGCCAGTCAAATCGCCAGACATGATTGGCTCGCCAAAACCGTTGATTTGTGTGATTTTCGATTGGTCTGTGATGCGAAAACGATAATTCGAATTCTTAATATGAGCAACACGGAGCGCTAACTCAATATCAGATTGTTGAGATTGTGTGCCGTGTTGTTGTATATCGTTGCTATTACCGTTGCTGCTGCAAGCTGCTCCGTCAATGTGTTCATGCATGGGGGAATTCGAAATAGATTGCTGCTGTTGCTGCGCACCACCGGCCATTTTAGTGTTGTTGACAACCAATGAATAAAGCTCACCACGGGCACAGGACATGCTGCAAAAACGCCGAGATTTTGTGTAGAATGTGTGTTTTACACCGATAGCACCGCAGCGCTCGCAGACGGCTGGAAAGATAAAAGCATATATCCCAAGAATAAGTTAGTCTGTTCAGTTGTAACACGTAAATACATATTTCACTCTCGATCACAAGAAGAATATTACTCAAGTTAGTATAATATTGGAAAAAAAATAAAAATAAGAAACTTTGCTTTGTTGATTACAACGGTCTTAAATTCGATCACTCAGAAGAGTTGTGATCTACATACATCTTTTTCGGTTAATACTTTTTTGACATTATTTATAATAAAAAGAAATAATAATTCACTGTTTTTTTTTCTTATTTTGTCACGGGCAAAAAATAAATATTTTAAATAAGAACAAGTTTATATGTACATCACTACAAATGTTACACATATGTATGTATACAACCACACATACATTTGCGAGTGTTTTAACTACATCAATACAACACAAATTATAATAATTTACTAATTGTTGTCTTATTTATACAAACTACATAAGATTGAGATAAACAAAGAAAAACTAAAAATGAAACAATATTAATTTAATTTCAAAATCCATAAATAACAGAAAACATACCCATGCCATCTTTTTGAATTGGTATAACTGATGGATCTATATTGCCCTTATATGCTATTGGTGTCTTCAAGACCAATCCTGGTCTGTTAACAGGTTCAATTTTGCGTGTCTTACGTTGCGATGAGCGATGGTGTCCCACTCCTCCACTTCCACCGATTCCTCTTGACGAGCTTGATGCTGCAGCCTGTAATGCGGCCGATGTGGAGGCGGGCACCATCACCTCATCGCCACTATCGCCTATCAATTTGTGCCCCCTATCCATGGGCACCAGTACACCGTTCTCATCCATACCATGTGCATGAGCTATATCAACGCCACCACTACTTCCATCCGCCAAATCTCGCTCATCTGCCATAAATTCTGTACCATCATATGAATTTGAATCGGTCATCATTACAAAGTCATCAATATTTATAATTTCCTGCTTTGGTGCCAGACCATCATCATAACTACCATCTTCCAATTGATCATAAATGGGTTGTGGCTCATCGCTATGCACATATTGTGTAGCCAATGATTTGTCAACAATACTGACATTGCCGCAAGAACCGTTACCAGCGTCTATCACGCCGTGGCCGGTACCATCATCATCTACAACTTCTGTGTAGTTTTGAAAAACAGCTGCAGCAGATTGTTGAAGCAATTGTTGATGTAAACCGCCTACTTGTGCTAAACCATAAATATCGTTCGAATTTGTCGCAATTAGAGCTGCCGGTTGTACGCCTAATGCAGCTGCCGCTGCCGCTGCTGCTGCGGCCTGACCACTAAAATCCCCCCCAACAATGCTCATCATTGGATTTAAGTCCTTTGTGTTTTCGATTTTTTTTATTATACAAATAATGCCATTAAGGTTATATTTTATATTACATCCGTATAAATAATTAAGTTCAACGTTGAACAATGCGTTTTCATTGACATAGTTTGAAAATTATTGTCGAGTGATTTTGGTCGATATAGATTTCGGTAGATTTAATTTTTATTGTTTTTTTTTTTTGTGTTTTTAATTTTTTTTTTTTTGGGGAGGAGTAAATGATCAAACACAGCAAGAAACAAACATATGAAAAGAAAAAGAAAGATTTTGAGAAATAAATGAGTGAAATTATAGTAAATAAGATGCAATTAAAGATACAAATTTCAATCGTAAATGAAATGCAAGCGACTCCAAATGATCCGTATGTACCAATAAGCAAAAATTTATTTACATATGTATGTACCTATGTATGTTTTAAAATAATGAGGTATGTTTGTGAATAAATAATAACTATCAGTAAAAAATTATACCCACCATGGTTTGTTGATGTGAAGATAAATCATCCATTACAGAAAGTCCTACTGAGGGATGACCAAAAAATGATGGTGCGTCTTCCACTGTGATGCGCTCTGGATTATAAGTACTCATCCACATCATACGCAACTCCGAGGGATTCATTTTAAGTGACACTTATGGCGGAGTTCTCATTTATATCTACCGATCTTCAATTACGATTAATGGTGTGCCTTTATGAACGATTTTTTATTATGGTAGCTAAAATTTGATAAAATAGAAGACAATTAATGTATTTAGTTTACAACTCCAAAAATCTAATTGTCATATGGTGATCGAATCGCGACATGTGCTAATGGTACATGCTTTGAGGCTTTTGAAAAATTGCGTATGCTTGCTAGCATATTATTATATTATAGAGAATGTTTTGCTTTATTAATGAATTTTTATTTCATGGTAGTGTAGATACAAAGTTGAATCCAAATTTGTAGTAAAAATATATAGAATATTAAAAAGTAAGGAGGAATGTAATTTTCTACCTTGCCGCAAATTATCACAGAAAACACACGATATGAGAATGTACCGAGATTCAACATATTCGCCTCCGTCAAGTGCGTTCTTTATTCTTTCTTTCTTTTGTAAAGTTTCCAATCAAATATTGCTCATGAAATATGGTTTTGAACTAAAAAAAATATATTTCTTCTAAACAAATCTTTCGCGATATTTCCATCCAAAATTTGTAACATAAAATATGTAAATTACGCGATTCACACGCCTTTGTTTCCAATTGTTTCAGGCATTTGTTTAAGCTTTTAGCAAGGCTGAAAACGCATTTTGCTCGCAATAAACATACACGCCACAGCCGCTAAAAACGACAACACGGACACGAATTAAACGCATCCCAGCCACCAACCACACAATTTTTCTGAAACACTTTTATGCCTCTTACCCTTTCAACTTTATTGCAATTATAACAACTTTAAGATTTCCACAATGATAGGACCATTTTGCAATCGTTTTTATGTAAAATATTTTAACTTGTTTATTGTATTCACAGTTTTAAAAACTATAATAATTCGCTTGTAGCCAAACTACTCTGACCAAAATTAACGATGTTAATCGACAAGGTAGTATTGGTAGTATTTAGTGTTGTATTTACCATGCGATATATACAACTATCCCTTTCTGTTTTACAAAGTTTGGAATGCAGTGGCGGCAAAATATAAAATTGGAACTGTTCTGCGCTGCGTTCGAGAAGTTAATGTAATAAACTACTAAAGAACATTATACCATAAATCTTATATCAAAGAGCGTATCTGTGAGTTTCGAGATATCGCCTCAACAAAAATTCTTATAAAATTCGACGGGATTTCGTCAAATGAATAAATAACATTGTATTATATCTCTTCTGGATATTGAATTAAAAAACTACAAATTCAATTTATGTCGAGGAATTTTTAATTGCTTTTTCCTTAAATAAAATTGTATTATATCTCTTCTGGATATTGAATTAAATAACTACAAAATTCAATTTATTTCGAGGAATTTTTAATTGCTTTTTTCTATACATATGTTTAGTTGACGCAATTTGAAACTATAAATATATATTAATTTTTTTCTGAATATTTGAATGTCATAATTATTTAATCAAATCCCTTGGAAATAACTGAGTCTCGTTTTCCGAAAGAAATATTTGCATTGCATTATAAAGCAAGGAAATACCCAACAACTTTTTTCCTTTTGCAGTCCAATTGCTAGATGGACCGTAATAAACTCCTCGTTTTTTATTCGTTAGATTGCGAAGACTTAGTGCGTCAATAATGGCGGCCTTAAACATGAGGAAAAAGAAGTTAATGAATGTGTAAACAAGTTTTAATTCAAAAAAAGTTCTTAAACCTCTCGGGTGTAGGCTTCACTTGATTTAAAATTCTGAAATACTTGCAGACTAACGACTCCGAGACCATTTCCCCAAATATCGACAATACGACGTAATTTGTTTAACGTCAAACACTTTTCTCTACTTCGTTTGGGATTGAATATATCTTTCCTATATTCATTCATAGCGTCATATAAATGGGAATAAGTTCGATTCGATTTAGCTTTGCCTACATAGAAAATCGAATTCAAAAACTGCTTCCAAATTACAATCTCCTTGAAATTCTGAATTTAAAAGAGCAAACATACATCACTCTTTCAACATATATAAGGATTTTTAAGAATTAAATAAACTTCGTGCTTTAGACAACTGTAATTACCTTTTGCTTAGCTTCATTTGAAAGATTACAAGTGATACGCGGATCCATTAAAAAATATATATGGTATTGGTTTGAATTCTGTCCATTTTTGTTGGACAAATTAAACGAATTGTTAAAATTTGTTGCGGCTATACTTTCGAATTTCTCATAACATGGAATACATTTAAAGGCCTTTGCTGAAGAAATGGTGCGTTGTAGCTCCACTGAGAATTCTGAAGCGAAAGTTTTTCATTAAATTTCGTCGCATCGGCTGTTTTTAACTTACTTCTTTTTAAAGGCATCAAGAATATAAAGCTTCGTCTAATTCTAATGTAAATCAAATACTAATCGTTTAATAGCGAATGAAATTTTTTATTATATGTCAATTATGACAAAAAAAGTTAAGACAAAAAACAGTGAATGTTAGGTAGATTAATATTTTATGGCTCGTTCGGTTTTATCGGAGTTGAATAAGGCAATAAAAACTGATTTTCGGGCTCACCAATAGAAGCTTTGCAAATAATCTGCTCTAGTGTGCAAGGGGAGGCGCTCGGCTAAAAATCGTTTTATAACTTATAAGGACTACGGTTCTTGATACGGTAAGTTCCTCACTGAGCAAAGCTGTTGTTATGAAAAACGAATGATAGATGAAAAAAAGATACCAGGAACTAGAAAAAATAAGAAATTTTCAGAGCTGGGTATGAGCGATGCGTGAGGTATATAAGAGGGCGGCCAGCACAGCAGTTAGTCGGCTGTAAAGTGAACTTGTTTGTGAAAACATCGGTGTAAAAAAGAACACGGTGTATTGTGAACACTGTATGGGTAGTTATGGGGCATAATAAAACAAGTTGTAATTTATTGACTAATACATAAACTTTAATTAAATTTTTATCAAGGAAGAAACTGTACAACAAATTTGGTGACGTTCATTTCACAATCTGGGATCGAACTCAAAGGATCTAAGAAATCATTATGGTTAATTAGTGAAAATCGTAACAATATATACTGCTTTGTTTTCTATGCTACACAAACGGCCAGATGGCAGACAGGTAGGGTATTAGCCGCTCATAGCATAAAACAGCTGTTTGATAACAATGCTTTTTAGGAAGTTTTTCTACCAGGTTTAAATGCAATATTTACTGCAACAAAGCATTCGCAAGCGGCTTATTAACGAAAATATCATTTAAAATACCAATATTTAAGAAATCCTGAAGTAACTCAACTAATGTTTATGGATTGAAATTAATAAACAGGAATTAAAAGATGCCTACTATTATTGCTTTAGATGGTTTGACAACTCTTTGCTTAAGTGATTACAAAAATTTGTGTTAATAACTTTCGTTGCAGTGTCCCTTTCCATGCAACGGCAGATTCCAGGTCGGAGTGAAGAAAATGCGCTGACCTATCATCAATTGGCAATCAAAGGGATATCACAATTACTGGAGCATTTATCGGTTACATCGAAGTTAGAATACGTTTCACTAATTACCTACTCAACGACATCAGAGGTAAAGGTAGATTTTACACGCGATTATGATACTATTCGTCAAGCTGTTAAGAAGGTAGAGCCAGGTGACAAACTGTGCCTCATAAGTATGTTGAAAAATGTTGCCAGCATATTATCAACCAATTGGGGTACTCAAAATTATTGCCAGGTTATCGTATTCACTGATTGCGGCTTAGGGTGAGTTTGGTTTTTTTTTATATTGATATTAAAGAAATTTTTTAACATAATAAACTCTCAGATTCGGGAGCACGGCACTCAAAGGCTTCTTCCAAAGCTATGTCGACAAAGAAAATGAACCAGAGTTCGACTGGATTGGGCAATTGAAAGCAGTGAAATTAAATTTTGTCTGCATGGGAGTTCAAAGTGACTATTACTTTACACGTGCATTTCCCGTATATCAGCAGTTAATTGACTTCACTGGCCTAAAAGGTTATTTGCTAATTTTTATTATTATCTGTTGTTAAACATGACATTTTTTCGCAGGTCAACTTTTTATGCCTAAGTTTGTGAAAGATGCGGTTGAAGGAACTGAAAATTCGAATGACATAAACAAATCTTCGACTATCATTAGCACTAGTGCAACAGCATCTACTATGACATCTCATTCCAATCATAAAAGTGAACTTGGTCGTACGGCAATGTTCGAATTAATAGAACGTGTTTGTGAGGCAAACTTTAAGCCTTTCGAAGTTACACTTAAAGCTGGTGGCTATTGTCGTTTAGAATGTCCAGTATTAATATGGCCACCTCCAGTGCCGCATAAAATTGAAAATGGAGTAAAAACATTATTAAAAATATCACAAAAGATAGAGATTTGCGGTTACTTATCACTCTCCGAAATCGGCTCACCCGCATCTTTGAGTAGACATTTAGTAATACCCAAGGTGGATCGGGAAAAGCCAACACGTCGATCTTCAGAAAAATCCGGCTCGTCAAAATCATCCAATTCTGTTACCAATAGTACTAGCTCTAAGCCTGCTCTAGACATAAATCAACCTAACTATGAATACGAAAAATTAGAACAAGAAATTCGTGATTTTTATACAAAAGATGTTAAAGATGGCGATGAAAGCAGCGAAGATGCAGAAACAAATGCCACTAAATCTGGCAGTGGTGCTATTGTACCAGCAGCGGAAAAAGAATCAATGTGTGTACTACTGCATGGCGCTATGAAAGTCGAAAATTTAGCAGCTTTGGTGTTGCTCAACGATAATTGGTATGGTTTCTTATATTCATATGCTGATAGTAAGAAAAAGTCCAATTTGATGTTAAACATTTTACCACCTGGTAACAATGTAATACCATGGTTGGGAGATTTACAATTATTGGGCTTTGCCGAAGATCTCATGCCAGGTGAAACAAGCGCGTTTCCAGTTAAAGCCGATAAGCGTTCGTATTCACAAAGCTTTGTGGTTTGGATTAAACAAGTCAGTCTGCAATCCGATGTGCAAAAAGTCCTTCGCCATGCAAGAAAAATGCCGGAGAAAACACAACATTTCTTTAAAGAAATGAATCGTATAAGACGTGCTGCTCTTTCCATTGGCTTTATTGAACTTCTCGAGGCTATGGCTACACTTTTCGAAAAAGAAAGTGCACAACTTACTTTAGGTACAAATCCAGAGTGTAGCATACAGCTGAAACATGCCGCTATTGAGTTGCGAAAACCTTCGAATCGTGATTTGAAAGTGTCGATTGTGCCCATGCAAAAATTCAGCGCAACAGGTGGTGGACCTGACAATCCAGCTGCAGCAGGCTTTGCATACTAGGTAATATTGATGTCTGTCTATGTTGGTATATGCCCAAAAGGTATATTAATAAAAGTAAATTTCGCTTACCAGAAATCACGTCATAAAAAATGTCTCTATTGAAGGCAGTGTCGAAAAAATATACAAATTGATGTAGATCGTTAACTTATACCTTTTATACAAATTTATATAGGATATGTACAATTTAATTGCATATTAAAAGTTTTTTTGTACAAATGTAAGTAATTAAGAAAAAATTTTAAATCTTAGTTTTTTTTTATTTGCGTCTAAAATATAAAATACAAAACTTTATGTTACTAGTGCATTTGAAAAAAAATCAATTTAGACTTAATTAATCGTTCGAAAATTCTTCATCGTCTTCAGTAATATCTAGTGTCATATTTTTTATGTCGATTTTTCTTAATTCAGCATAAATTTCATCACACAAAATATTATCAGGGTACTGAAAATATAAATAAATTGTAGATAAATTTGGCAAAATCGCATTGAAAACTTACAAGCTTTGCATATTTCCAAGATTCAAGTGCTCTAAAAGTTTTATTCATTTTAAGGTTAACCAATGCTAAGTAGCCCCACACATCCGGTACATGTAAGCCATAATTGGTGCATTGCGAAAATTGATTTTCAGCCTCTTGGTATCTTCCCAGCTGCGAATTCATTACAGTTAGTGCTTATTTATTTAAATATTAATGCTATTATAAGCAGTATTTCTTACGTGGTATAAAGCCCGCCCTAAACCGAAATTTGCCGCAAATTTGCAAGTTCTTACGCATGTGCATTGCTCATGTGCGTTTATTGCTTCGGCATATTTGCCATTTTCAAACAAATGTTTGCCATAACGCATAAAGCTCAATTGGAAATCACGCATATCCTCTACGTGTTGGACGTTCTCCAGAATAAAAGCGTAGCATTCGTTTGCGGCGCTGATCTCGCCATTATAATAATGTAGTTGTCCATTAATATGGGATTGAAATATTTTCTGTGATTTCCAAAAATATTCAATATTAAGGTAATTAGTGTGTGATCATGAGCCCTTAGCTAAGCCCTGTGGGTCCGAATAATACTGGCACAATTAAGGTCTCAATACTGCATTTATTCACACGACATTTATGCTCAACGTCTTTGTATGTCTCCTAGAACCAGCTAATCTAACGCCATTTTCTTTTGGTAACCACCAAAATTGTTTTTTATGAATATTGTAGGTGTAAAAATTCCTTGGCCAGATAAAAATCTGGGCCATTCCGTTATAAAGACCAGACTATTGTGGGAACTATTGGTTTTTAATCTCCCCTTATGAAAGGCATGTCTGGACCTGAATGTCTTCATTCTAGACGCCGGGGGCTAACGAGACGCAGATGAAGAAGCTACAAACAAGAAACATCTTACAAGTACCGCTGGACGGAACTATTTACCGACAGTCTTTAAATGCCATTCATTGAGTGTCCGTTTACACCGTCTTGAACTCACTTCCAGTAGACGACGTTCTCGGAATCCCATCACCATCTATTACAGATTAAGAGCTCGAGCTGCCTCGAGAGACCCGAGGGCCACAATTAAGATAAGGATATAGTATTCGACTAAATTCCTAACTATCAAGACTTGGCTCCTTAATACTCATCGTATGTTCTGCATACAATGAGTTCCCAAATGACACTAAAACCAACTTATCTAACCTCTCTCTCCTTACGGTCCGAACCCGTAGAAACAGCTTGTTTTTTGGCACTACCGTTAAATGATTTAGACTGATCTTGTTGGCTCCTAAGCGAGAGAGTCGCCTCACTGCCACTTTCCAAACCGCTGGAATAGAAAAAAATTCGTCGAGGCTTTACCTGCTCCTAGTGGGGTTACACAACATAGGACCACCATTTCATTTTATCCCGCACTTGGACCTCTTTTAATGAATAAATAATCGAAGAATAATTTTGAACACATTCAAAAAGTGTAACTAACCTAATTTCCATTTTGTCTTGTGATCCTTGTCCATTTTAAGTCTTGCATTTTTTTTTTAGTAAAAACATTGAATTGAAAAAAAGCAAGATTCCTCTGCTAGTACCTACCGTGTGCAGCCCCTGAGAAGATCGTTTGGGATATATATCGGTTGGTTCCTTGAGTAGAATTTTCAATGTTGTTTCAACACAATATTTTTCTGTTTCCGTACATTCGTCTAGAACCTCCGCGAAAATGATTTGCGCGAACAAAAATAATCCAAGTTTCAGAAACTCTTGAATGGCTTTATAAAATTGAATCGACCTTTGGGATGTAAATTCTAAATTTTGCTTGCAATATATATTCCAGAGGGTTAATGGAATCTTTAGTTCAAATACCAAATCCTTTGTTATATTCTCGAATTTCAAACGTGTAAAACTCATGCCCGGCAAATATTCATATTTGTTATATAAACAATATAACAGTATCCATATCGAAGGCTCTTTCGGGAATCGTTTGGAGTAATCTTCCAAAGCTTGGAGTAGGCATTGAAACGCTTCATTGTACACTGTTTCCGCCTTCAACTTTTCCACGTAGTTGAGGTAGATTTCAAACAGTCCACTACAAAGAAGGAGCAAAAAGAAATGAAATACTAAGAAATACATACATATAAAAGTCGCCATGGCGGCTCATTACTAAAAAGTGGACGAAGATCTGGTCTTGTTCCTTTTCTATTTTTACTTACTCATAATAATCTCCAAACTCAAACTTTTTATCCCAAGGTTTTTTCATATATTCTCTAGCTGCCTCGAAATTTTGTTTCTCCATATTGAACAAAAATGTGTAGCCCTGGACATGATATTCCACGGTCTCCAGCTTTTTCAACTACATAACGGAAATGAATGTTTCCATACATACCAATCGAATATAGAAAATATTATATCTCTAACCTTTTCTTTGTAAATATTGGCCAAATCATCCTCACCAACTTCGGTCAAAACCTTTATTATGCTCATGAATGAATTGAGTTTGTCAACTTGTGCTTCGTCGAGAAGCACACTCTCGGAGCCCTTATACCTTTGCGTAATTTCATAACACCGTTGTTCTAATTCTTTGTACACAAAAGTCATCAAATTCTTAAAAACACAAATAAATAAATTTTAATTTACTTCAGAAATTTTTGTATGAAATTTTCTAAAGAAAAGAACCAACCGCGAACTCTATGGTATTTTTAGTTGGCACACGAACATTAAAATCACAAGAGATGAGTTTCATAATATTTTGAATTAAATTTTTTCTTTGACAGCATAAAAACCCCTTTGAATCGTCTATTGTCTGGATCTCCTTGCGTATTATATACTCGACTAATGTGGTTATTTGCTTATCAAAGTCTTTGTAGTTTTCTTCGCAAATATCTGCTTTGTCTTTTACGAAAACTGTATCGGTTGGTAGTTTTTCCGGAATACAGGTTTTCAGCTTTTCTGGTATTCTTTCCTTAAAGGACTTACGCGACAGTTGGCTCTCGGTTATTGGCTGCAGTATGCAGATGTTGACAATTGCGAATGTGACTTTGCCTGTCTCGTGATAAGCGTTTATAACATTTTCAGCAACTGAAGAGATTGGGTTCTCGACGGGCACCAATTGCACGGCAAAACGACATGAATTAACTGGTATGAAATATAAATGTAAATAAAAATAAGTAAAAAAGATTTGAGTTCGGGTAGAACCGGACATTGCACTTCCGGCTGTGAAGTAAAAGCGATTATTGCCTTAAATATTGTATTTAATTCAAACAAGGAATTGAAACTATAAGGTCTACCTGCGGGTTAGGGGCTCAAGAATTTACCCACGGTAAGGCATGCCTGTCGTAAGAGGCGACTAAAATCCAATAGATCCCGCGACAGTCGGGTCTTTATATCCGGCCAAGGACTGTCACTCCTGCAACATTCCCCAAAAAGTACTTTGGGGAATAATTTTGCGGTTACAACAACAACAACAGAAGTTCTACCTTATGTCTATCGTGGGATCTAACTAAATTGATAAGACGTGTTATCAATATCCCATTCCTACTTAGCGAGCTTAACTTTACCATCCCTTTAAGATCATCTAGACACTTTAGGTCCCCTTAGCGGGTCTCATGCCGAACAAACTTTGAATTGCACGACCCTTTTAGATATTTGTGTAAAGATTTTAATATACATTTCACCAATATTGATTCCTCTGACTCCTTTTTCTGTATCAAAACCTACTCACTGACTGCTTTAAATAATTAAATAAATTCCCTCTCCTTTTCCCATGCAGTTTTATAGCAGCTGATGTACAAATTTGTAGCTGTTTAGTGTAAGTGGCAAATGTAACCGCGACCTTCCGCGATCGGGTACAGGGTAGTCCGGACTGTTACTGGTTTTCGATCACCGGTCTGTTGGACTTTTCGATTATCCCTCATACGCGCCTCTCGATCGTTTTGGACAGGAGGTGAGTATTGTTGGGTTCGTCGTTAAAAAAATATATATGTATATATATATCTCGTCATATATGCTGTGCAGTGTTGTGGGGGGGTCAGTTCGGAGATAGAGGAGCATATAAACTGCGCAGCGTTCGACCGACTGGAGTAGGAAAAGCTATAGGCCCTTCGATCTCAGTGATGCATATAAAGGCCTGTTCCACTGCCACCAATAACGGGCTCTCTGCGCTTTTCCCTGCCGCCAGTACGCAGAGAGCGATTTTGTGTTTTTCCTAATCCGCTCTACTTTCTTGTCCAGTTTGAAAAATTTCCACATTCCCCGTATAACTCTGCAGATGGTATTATAATATTTAGTACAAAGTTAGCTCCACAGTCTGAACTTGCCATAATACGCTTCCAGTGATGACAATGCCAGTTTATGTAGAGGAATAAGTTTTGTAAAGATGACAAATTCGTACCACATAGCAGAGTTGAGTTGAGTTGAGTTGAGTTGAGTTGAGTTGCTATATAGTAGACTTCCATGTAATTTATAGCAGTTGATGTGGAAATCTGTAGCTGTTTACTGTAAGAGGCAAGTTTTACAGCGATCTTCCGCGCTCGCTGTCGGGATCAGGGCAGTCCGGATTGTCACTGGTTTTCGATCGCCGGTCTGTCCGATTTTTCGATTACCCTTCAGGCGCGCTCCTCGCTCAGTTGGGCGGCAGGTAGATAAGACTGGGTTCGTCATCAAATCTTTTTTCACGATTTGGCCGATGTGGAATCCTTCACGCAGAGAGGTCATTGTATCTTACTTAGAGTTGTGAAAAGTAAAGTCCTCTCTCGACCATTAAACACCAAGCTCTAATAGGCTCTAGACGAGAAAAATTTCTTTCGGAAGTTGGTCAATCTAGGACTCGAAACCTGACCTTCAAAAAGGGAGTACGCAATACTACCGTTTCGACTGTTACGGCCGCCACATATACATATATATATATATATAAATAATTCTCTTTCGGACGAGCTCCTGGCCCAATTTGCCTGGATCATGTTGATGTTTTGTCCAACAAATGAAGGGACCTACAGTTTGTCTGATGAATTTTTATAGTGCCACGGGGTTGGAAATTAATACTTTTGTATGATAAAGTTCAGAGAATTAAGAGTCAAAGTCTTGTTGATTAGGTCATGTCGTATGGACAGAAAAATTTTAGCACTGCTAGTTTTCGATGTAGTACTGCTGGAAATGTCAGCTGAAGAGCACCTCCGTCTCATGCACAGTGTCGCATCAATTGGGAAGAAGATTGGTAAGAATAAACTTAGATTCCAATCGTCAATCATGCCTTCAGCTGTTCTTATTGCACAAAGAACTTGGTACGGATACATTATAAATTTCTTGCGCCAGATTTCAATATTCTATTTTGGTTCTGGTCTAAAAAGACCCTAGACCAGTACCAGCTGTCTTTACCTGATTTGCTGTAAGAACTGCTAAAACAAAATTGAGCTATACTAGGTCAAGTGAAAAGAGGCAAATGTAATTTCACTTTACGAGCTTTAAGCACTACAAAGTTTCAAATAGATCTTTTGACAGTGGAAATTAAAACAATGTTTGCCGATTTAGTCCAAATGTACTAGTGTTTAAACAACTCACTTACAGGCCTATTCTGTCGAGGTATCAAAATTTACTTTGGTATTAAAATTTACCATTCAGTAAATTTTGTTACTATTTCGTATTCTGAGTTCACTGTCACCCTGTAAATTTTGTTACTATTTCGTATTCTGAGTTCACTGTCACCCTGTAAATTTTGTTACCAGCGAAATAGTAGGTAATAAAAAATGTACTGTTTGATTTTGTGTTGTAAGTTTGAGAAAAAAAATAAAAACCAAAATGGGTAGGCATATTTTAGGCTTGGAATTCATTGAGGATGAAGATAAAAGTGGAAAAAACACATACTAAGAAGTTTGCGAAAAATAAATGACCCTTTTAATTTGGAAGATAGCGTTTTCAATCATTTTTTTTATCATTTAGGCATATTTTCCAAAATTATATGCAAATATTAATGATTTAATAAAAAAATAAAAAAAAAACGTATTTATTATTCTTCTTTTTTACTTTCCCAACTGGAAAGTGTAATTTGACAAGTACGTAAAAAGCAGTGCAGCCAAAGTTTTTTCAAACACTGTAACCAGTTCGCCAGAATACCAAATTCAATTTCGGTTGTTAAAAAAAAGTAACAAAATTTACTTTACCGGTAACAGTGAGAATAGGCCTGTTAGTCGTAGAAGCATTCAAAGTAAAAAAATGGTCTAGGAGTGCCAGCACAGCTTGTTTTCTTTATGGACTTTTGGCGCGTTAATGCTTTGTAGCTTCAACAGCCTAGTGTCGGCACTTCTTCTCTATCGTCATCGAATCAGTGAATTCGAGCTCGACCCCTCCAAGTGTTTCATCTATTATAAACTCAGACAGAACACTTCTGGTAGCTACAACAATTCAAGCAATGAAATCCTCATAAGTCTTTGAGTGTTCCGAAAGGTTATGGTTAGCTTAGAAAAAATTGTACTCATGTTAAGGGAAGTGAAGAATCTCTCTCATACGCTTTGTTGTAGTAAAAGTACATAAACTCACCATAAGGATATAAAAATATCGATAAGTCTATTATACATATACTCACCATAAGGATATAAAAATATCGATAAGTCTATTATGCCACGTAATAGAATTATATGCGGATCGCTGCGTTGATACACTTCAATTATAAGTTCTTGTTCGTTGAAAGCAATCACGTCTTCTAGAATTTTCGTTAATTTTTCATTCAATACGTAACGACGTAACAAGTTACATATCAGTGCCTCATCCTTGCTAACGGATATACTTTCAAGACCGAAGTCAACATTTTCTGTGCATAACAAATCGTCGAATAATTTGTGAATCGACATGCAAAAGTCCGTCATTTGCCCCAGATTGCGCTTTCCATTCTTAGTTATACTTGCCCAATTATATTTAACATCTTGCTCACAAATTATACTTCTTTTCATGGAATCAAATGTACATATTGGATATGTTTCCAGTTCATTATATGCATTCGGTATTTTTGAACGGAACGAAATGCTTACAGCCAAATCGTCAGATAAATTCATAATGTCCGAACTGGCATTGTAAATGGATTCTGTTGTTATGAATATCATATTATTAAAGTCTTCGTCCTTCATTATGGGCAGTAGAGAATACACATGCCACAATGTCTTACAGGTACCCATTTCCAAATTTATATATTCCGTAGACGAGGGATATAAGAGAACTTCAGCATTGCATATGGAACGTTTGCTTGTGAAGAAGTGTATCAAATCAATTTGTCCTTGGGCTATCGTTTTTTCTATCGCATCTGCGTTTCCTTGGACCAAAATTTCCTTCAGAATAATTGCAAGCGGTTCATCACTGAACGAATTAGCTATATCCATATTGTATTGCTCAATCGGTATGGCGAAAGAGTTAAATAATTTAGTGTCGTCTATTTCTCTGGTGTCATTAAAATTTGTCTTATTGTGTCTAATGCTCAAATAGTATTTTTTATTTTCATCCTGTGGCAGATTTGTTATTTCCTGTAGTTGTAAATACATATATACCCTTTGGTATGCTTCAAACGAAAGGCTTGCTTGCGATATAGTTTTTCTCATCAGATCAGTATCCGAATAGTTTTTTGTTTTTGTTCTTCTAAATGGTTTCCTTTTTAAAGTGCGCACATTTCGGTAGAGATCTTTGTCGCTTAAAATACTAACCATTTTGATTTTGAATGGTGTGGTCATTTTTGGTTTTTTACTAAATAGTTTTGTCTCCTTGTTTTTGAGTTTTTAATTTTTTTAAAATAAATCCTGCACTAGTTATATTTATGATTTATGTATTTAAGTTATATAATATATCAATTTACTGGAAATATATTCTAAATTAATTTTTAGGTTTTATTTTATTTTTTATTTTTATTTTTCAAAATATATCAAACTTATTTCAATCGCTCAATCCATGAACAATCCAAAAACAAGGTAGTTTCATTCAAATTTTTTTTTTTTCAAAAATATCCATCTAACATGAAAAGATTTTTTGACTTTTGTTTCATTTTTGTGCTACCAATTTCATATTTTTTAAAATAAATTTTCAATTATCTAAAATAAAAAAAATATATTACAAAATATTAAAATCGTTTCTTTGTGTTTAAATATTTTTCAAAAACTATGTTCTTTGAGCTGCTGACTACTATTATTTTGAGATCCATTAACAGATTTTAATGGAATTTATTTCGATTTAAAAAACATAAAGTCGTGCTCCCATTTTCACATTTCGATTCTACAATGTGGATTCAACAATTTGCTCTCTGCTCTGCTCTCAATTTCACATAATTTATCATCGATAAAATGCACACTCTTTGCTACACTCAAACTTCTTGCGATACTTTTCATGCCAAGTTTTATGAAATACAAGGTTACTTAACTGAATATGCTCCTGAGGAGGATGAAACCATGTGTAGAAGTTAATGCGAGTGAAGAAAGCTTTTGACTGTCATTCAGCTGAGAGTGGCCAGAAACTATACTTTTGTATATAGTTGATGCAGCTCACAATTTCCGATCTTAGACCAACTGTCCTTTGGATAGCCAACAAACATCCGTTTGGAGGTGAGCTTAAGTGAGATGGTCGTGTCGTAGAGTTTGGGAGCCACTACAAGAAAAAAATAAATTCAAATGAAGAAACCAACAAAGCCCGGCTGAGAGACCCTCCCTTTTGATGACAACCTTCTCAAATTTTTAAGGATCATGATGTAAGGGCATGTACGTGGAATGTCTGGTCCCTTAATTGGGAAGATGCCGCTAACTAACTCGTTGATGTTCTAATAAGATCAAAGGCTGACATCATCGCCGTCCAAAAAGGGCAATTGAAGAGAAAAAAGAGGGGATGCCATTTGTTAGCACCAGGAGCATACTTATGAGCGCTAACCCTGCCACGATTGCAAAATTGCGCTTGGAGACTTCAACATCAGAATGGGCAAAGAAGGTATATTTGGCACGACTGTAGTAAAATTCAGCCTGAAGGACGAAACACCCCCAAATGGGTTATCTGTAGTACTAGTATAAAACACCAGAAAATTCATTAAGCCATTGGGCTTTCTCCAGATCGAAAAACTCACAACCATATAGATTACGTTGTGATAGACGTAGGACACCTATCCAACGTACTAGATGTGCGCGCCTTCCGAGCTCTTAACATCGACTAGGATCATTACCTTGTCGCAACGAAAATACGCAAACCGTCAACTAACACAAGGAATGTTCGAAGTAGAAAAGCTTCAATAACAACAAACATCCTAACGATTTTCTACTCAACTTGCACACCTGCTTTCCGAGAGCACTCATTAGTAACTCGATATAAGGGAATTGTGGAACGGAATCTCAAACACACTACGTACCGCCGATAAAGAAAAAATTTGCTTTCGGTAGTGCCAGAAAAAGAGGTGTTACGAGCAACCTCGTATCCTCGTAATTGATCTCAACACTTGGCGGGTAGGATAGATACCGAGTGTTATATAGGTGAGCAAGACGCGTTTGCAGACAAAAAGAAAAAAAGAAAGATGCCGAAAAGACTGTGGTCTGATGCCACATAAAACATACTTGTTTCGACTTGTTCTGTTTAAATACCTACTAGAGCCATTTGCATCGCAAACATGGTGGAGTTGTTAAGAACAACGATTCTACACTCCTCTAATGGATTGTACCTTCTCTGTTTAGCAGCTAGTGTCAATTTATTCCAGCATTCAGTTAAGGAAGTCAAACGTTAGCCGCCTTTTTTTATACTTCCGTTCGCGTTGAACGGAAGAGATCCTACTTGACGAAGCTTGCAGAACGTCTGTGCCGATCTCACGGGGCGGAGATGCCAAACTAATCTAACTTACTGTTATAGCGTCCGACTTTCCTTGCAATAGAGACACTAAATTATTATATGTTTCTTGAATGCATACATATATTTAACCAAACAAGTTGGTTCAATAGCCTGAAGGACGATTCAATAAATAATGTATCGAAAATTAAATCAACTCAACATCTAATTATTCGCTGTTTATGACCTGAAGGAAAATACAGGCTTATCGACATACAGCTCCACATCATAAATATTAATATTTGCAAGTTCCTCTTGAAGATCTTTGCCAAATTCAACATTGGGATTCTATGTAAGTAGAAAAATTCGAATTAAATGCAGTTTCTTTGCGATGATGGTTCGTCCATAAACCAAGTATTTAGCTTGTCCAAGAGAGGAGACTAGATGCTATAATAGTGTAACCGGAGGAAGGAGGTGAAAACAAGGCTACTAAGTTTAAGCCAGACCACGTAGTTTATGGACAAACCCTTATTACGCATTGCTACTTACTATTTTCGCATATTTCCAAAATTCAAGTGCTTTAAAGTTTCTCTTTTGTAAGAGATTTATTACCGCTAAATAACCCCAAATATCGGGTACATGTACTTTAAAGGTTGTACAAATCGCCAATTCGCGCTCTGCTTCTTCCAACCTTTTCATCTGTCAAATATATGTAAATATATAATATCTATGTAAATTATCCAATTCATGATGTCAAAATTACAGGGTTGTATTTTGACATCTGTCAAACGTAACTGTCAAACCAAACGTATTTAATTTTAGTTAAAAGTCAGGCACACTGGGAAAAGGATCTTTTAACAACCGCATAACGTGTTTAAGTTGTTAAAACATACTACATAAATAATAATTCAAACTAATTTTGAGGAAACTGGATCCGTTACAGATATTGTAAGGGTTGTACATCATCGTTTTGCTCGTTCGTGGAGCCGAAGACCCAAAAGTGTTTATTTTTCAACGTTCTCAAGAGCTGGGACTTTCTTACAGCACATTATGACGTATTTCGCACTTTGACCTATACCTAAATCCATACAAAGTTTAGCTCATACAACAGCTGAAGCCAGCTGACTAACATCGAACATAGTACGTCGATTGGATTCTTAAACAATTTTTCGAACAAAATTTTCATTAGCGAAAAGGCATATTTCACACTCGGGGTATACACCTATTTACATATTGTCGCATTTGGGGCACCGAGAGTTCTCTAATAATTGAAGAGAGACCCATTAAACCAAAACAAAAAAAAAACTTACTGTCTGGTACGCTCTGTGACCTAGAGGTGCAATTGTATCTTACTTCTTACTTACTTCGAAACCCCGTAAGTTATCGTGATGAAGTTAAACTAAAAAACAATATGACCACTCTTTACGCCTGCAAAGTGGTGATAAGCATAATGAGAAGATTAGACCCTATATACTTTCTATATAAATATTTATTTCTATATAAAAGCATCTTATCCGGCAGAATAACGGTCTGGCTCCACAAACTTGTAGCTAGCGGTAAACTGTGTAGAGTTCTTGTGGCGGCTCCATTCTTACTAAAGATGCATTGCCTTCAATCCCTACAAAAGCACATGAAACTGATCATAATCTTCTCTCGTTAGGTCTATATAGTAAAATTCATGTGAGTTGTACTGCCATAAGACGAAATGTAACTCAACCCTGAAGAAGCCGCAAAACAATATATCATTCTCGGAAGAAGTAGACTACACAATCTCAGCTTTATGTTTTGATGAAAGTCTGTAAGAATATCCAATTATGGCAGATTGTTCTACAAAGTCCACTCAGTATCATTCATAATTGATATGATCAAGAGACTTCCTGACTAACGTATCACAACATATTCTGACAGTCAAGCTGTCAATAATTCTATTCAAAGCAATAACTCCATGTGAAGGATGGGAAATTTTAAAGAAAATCTCTACTGTATGCGAATCGTCCATATTTTGGCTTCCTGGGCACAGAGGCAACGAGCTGGCTAGAAGGCGAAAAATCCTAGCAACTGTAAATTCTGTACTCAACTTAGACATATCTCTTTCCTCGGCAAATTTTATGAGTAGGACCGGTTAGCGGATATATGGTACACGTATTGACAACTGATCGAAAATGAGGGTACATGTATATATATCCTCTCAGCCGGACATCTATTAGTATCACAACCGTACACTGCTTTTTGGGAACTCACTATAGGAGGATGGTGAGCTACTTTTGCAATGACGTCTGTCGCGTCTGGAGGAGCCTTTATTAAGAAGGGTCCGGTGAGAGGTAGTGTCATTGCTATTGCCCACCTCTTAGTGCGAATTAGCTTCAGCAAGTATTTGCAATCTTGTAGGTTTCAGAAATCATAGTACAACAAATAGTTTGAGCGTTTAGGAAGGTGAGAAGGACCTGCTTGAATGCTTGATTATGGATTCGTAATCAGGCAACCACAAACTTTAACCAACAAACACTGCCCGCTCTAATAAATTCGGGGAAGATACATTCTATGTATGCGTACTTTCAATGATTTTAAGCGACCCAACTCGTACGTAATTTAAATTATAGCTAACTCCAACTTACTTTAAACAGAGCTTTTCCCAAACCAAACTTAGTAATGAGTTTGATATGCTTTCCTTCACATTTGTTAAATATGTCCGCAGCAAGATTGTAATTCCCCATATTAAGATTATAAAAACCATAACGTAGTAAAGCCAATGAAAAGTGCAGGAGTGGAATTCCACTATTGCTCATCATTAGAACCCGATCGTAAGATTTCATTGCCGATTCCAAGTCACCACGATTATAATCCAAGTGGCCATTAATGCTGGTTATAAGAGCCTTTTCTAATTGCTGTTCCACGTGTCCTTTGCTCTTATTAGGTGAAAATGATTTGCGTTGATAATGGATAAGTGCATCGTTTGAGAGGATCTTCAGTGTGGTCTGTGTTAGATATTGTTCAAATGGGCTACATGATTTTTCGAATTCTTTGAAAATAAATTCAGCGAATTTGTATAAACCCAAATTTATGAAAACTTTGAAGACCTTCAAGAACAAGGAGTCCTTGGGTGAGTTTTTAAAATTCAATTCATATGAATTGAGTAACTTATAACGATTTATTGGTGTTTGAGGCACTCTAATTTCCACCTCATCCTTTAGGTGTTCATATTTCCAACGCGTATAATGAATACCCGGCAAATATCCACAGCATTTGAAAATGCAGTGCAGTAGAACCCAGTAGCAAATATCTTTTGGGAAATCCAACAGCGCATCCCCGAGGTTGACGATCAAGTTTTCCATGGCTTGATTGAATGTATTCTCATTTTCTAAGGTTTCTACGTATTTAATATATAATTTAATTAATTCCCTGCAATTTGCAATAAATAAATTGATTATTTTTTTCAATTTGCTTATGGCATTAAAATTAATTAATTAAGGAAGACTATGTTCGGATAGAACCGAGCATAAGCTACCCAGCTGTTAGTTATGTAAGAAATCAGTTGGTTCCATGTTGTGATCGGGTTTATTTAAAAGCGTTACCGCTAAAAATTAAGCTTAAGTCGGAATGGAACCGCATATTAGATACCTGACTGTTTCGGATATACTATTATGCGAGTAGATACTAGAGCTTCAGATACCCAGTTTTACACTTTGCATAAATAAAATTAAAATTATATTGGAAGAGTGCATAAGTTTGTGCCCGATTCCGCTGGATGCCGTTCGAATCGTTTGAGAGTGGCGCTCGTGAAAGAAATATATACATATTCAGACCGAACTGTAAATCAAGGAAAAAATAACTTCATTTTGATTTGAGTTGCTTAGTGAAAAGACGCACGGAAGATGGACAACGAAAAAGATCATATGCGTCATATTATGTTATACGAATTCCGCAAAGGAAAAACAGTAGGCGCTGCAACTAAAGATATTCGCGAAGTTTATTTGGACCGTGCTCCAGCACTCCGCACAGTAAAGAAATAGTTCGCGAAATTTCGTTCTGGAGATTTTAACCTCGAAGATCAACCTCGCAGTGGACGGCCTTCTGAGCTTGATGACGATGTTCTAAGGACTTTAGTTGCGAATAACTCACGTATTTCGACGGAAGAGGTTGCCAGTGAATTGAACGTCAACAAATCAACTGCGTTTCGTCGTTTAAAAAAGGTTGAGTACACTTTGAAGCTCGATACAGTTGAGTGAAAAAAACAAAGTGGACCGTATGTCAACAGCAATTTCTGTACAACAATGTTCAACGCAAAAGAACATGGAAACAGGCACACGAAGGGGCGGAACCGATGTCGAAAGGTGGATTGCATCTGATGAAGGTACTGCTGTGCATTTGGTGGGATATCCGAGGCGTGATCTATTTTGAGCTCTTGCCAGCTGGAGAAACGATCACTGCCAACAAGTATTGTCAGCAATTGGTCGAATTGAAGAAAGCAATTTATGAAAAACGTCCGATTTTGGCCAATCGCAAAGGAGTTCTTTTCCATCATGACAACGCCAGGCCAAATGTTGCAAAACCGACCCTGGCCAATCCTCCATATTCACCCGACATTGCACCTTCTGATTATCATTAGTTTCGATCGCTGCAGAGCAATTTGAATGGAAAAAAATTTAAAAATGTGGAAGACGTCGAAAACCACCTTGACACCTTTTTCAACGAGAAACCGCGCGATTTCTATGAATCAGGCATCCGTAAATTGGTAGTGGATTGCCGAACATGATGGCGAATACATAATTGATTAATAAAAGCGCTTTCTTCAAAAAAATTTCAACTTTAGTTTGCACTTGAAATCGGGCTTATGCACCCATCCAATAGAAAGGAGCTCTTGGAAGAAAGTCAAATTTTTTATTTAAAATGGTCAAAAATATTTGAAAAAGCGCGAATTGTGCGAGCGCTCGTTGCTCAAATGCTCGAGCAGCTCGTAAATGTTCGAACAAAATCTTGAACTCTAGTAGATACATACACATTTAGTTAAGAAGTAACCGAGATGCCACCACTCATTATCTACGAAAAAAAAGTAAACACCCACCTCTAAGCGGCTTAAAAGCCCATCAAAAAACCCAAGGAAGTTTTGTCGTGAAAAAGCTGCTTTTCTTAATAGACATCCAAATGATTTTCCACTCCATTAGCACCCCTACTCCTTGAGGACACTTAGTTTTGTATAAGAGTACTGTGAACACTGTGATGGGGATGAGTTGCCAAAGGAAATGAGTTGCACATGTAGACCAAAAATGCTTGGAAATGCTCGATGATTATTCAGCGCCCAAAGTTATGCAAGGACTTACACTCGTCGCGTACTATTTGAGCTAGACAAATAAAAACTCCCAAAGTGCATTCAACAGTATATTTACAGTTGCATTTTAATCAAATGAGAGAACGCAAAATGTTTGGAGCCCAAATGGGCTCTGCTCGATACACCGCTCATAATGGGATAAATCTGCTCAATATTGCATATAACTCTTAGAAAAGATCAATGCGATCCTTTCAAAGTCTAACCGGGCAATGCTGTCTTGTCTCAATATACCGATTTTCCTCAAATACAGTACAAATCCGTTCTGAGGATTGAATACCAGTGAGCCAGTTATCGTGATTGTACTACAGCCGAATATACAAAATTTTCTCTAACAAACAAAAAATGGTTTTCAAAAAAGTACAAGAATCCCAATTATTTATTTATTTCACACAGGTAGAATATAAAATTTATAACTTTGACGAACTAAATACCAAAAACATCCTGCATGAACGAACCGGTTGTATTGTGGGTATAAGATACATATAGTTCATCGAACTGGTGGGTTCTTATAGACGATCAATGCATATATCCGTATACTAGGTTTCGTTTAAATATTTCAAAAACTGAGAGACTATTTTGCGTTCAAACAGTCGGGTGGACAGACAGAGGGCAGACAGACAGCTGGGCATGGCTAAGTAAACTAATTATTTTAAACATATCGGTATAAATTTTGATGGGTCTATCTCTCCTCCGTCCAGCACTTACATACCTTGAGCCAAAGTTAAAATACCATTTCGTGTTCATGTAAGACATAAAAATTGCCAATATTAAACTTACGTCAAATGTAGAGCCAACTCAAATTGTTTATCACGCGGTTGGGTGTAATATTGATTTGCCGTTTCCATATCTTGTTTCTCCACAGATATTATAAGTTTAAAAAATGAGAAAATGTGATTACCTGTTGACAATTTTTCGGCCTATTGAAGAATATAAAATGCGAAACGACTTATGAAAATCAGCTTGTGTGGCAATATAACAGTTACTACGTCTTGAACCGTGATAAAATCTAAATGAAAATTTAATAAAGAATTTATTTTGACATGTAAAAAGCCTTGAAGAGCCTTCGACTCCTCTTCTAAAAGCAAAATCTTATATGAATTATTTCTTTCGAATGGAATTATTGCAGTTTATGACCGTAGTAACAGTTATATATTGTGTGTGTGTGTTTTTTTTTACTTTATCAGAAAGCATCTTTGCGAAGTGTTCATCCCCAATCATGGATAAGTATTGAGAAATTGTTAAGTAGTTAATCACTCTAATATCATTTTCAGTTTCAGTGAAGATATAACTTGGCACTTGGTGTCCCAACTTTTGTAAAATATTGTAGGTGGTCTGTTCGGTGTCTCTATATACGGTCGTCATGAGATTCTGGAAAAAATAATACAAAACGCGAAGAAAATTATTTTTTATATATATTAAATAAGATAAATCGAAGTTAAACACTAAAAATATATATAAATGTATGAGTATAATATTATCATATATATAATATATAATATCTCCCTTCCGCTTTTTTGCTCTTCATTCAATGCTTTATAAAAAGTGTTACAGTGATCGGATTTAGTCAAAATATGCGCCGTTTTGTTCGATGATCTTTCCATCTAGACGGCAACTTCATAATACCTTCCTCGTAGAAGCCTCCCTCCTTATTTGCGAAGAATTCGGACAGCCACTTTTCACAAGCCTCTTTTGAGTTCAACTTCACACCACCAAGAGCATTCGCCATGGGCAGGAACAGGTGGTAATCACTTGGCGCTACGTCCGGGCTATATGGTGGATGCGATAAAACCTCCCATCCGAGCTCCCGTAGCTTCTGACGAGTCATCAACGAAGTGTGTGTTCTGGCGTTGTCCTGGTGGAACACTCCACCCTTCCTGTTGGCCAATTCTGGACGCTTCTGGTCGATCGCCAGCTTCAAGCGGTCCAGTTGGTCGCAGTAGATGGTAGAATTAAGCGTCTGACCATATGGGAGTAGCTCATAGTGGATGATTCCCTTCCAATCCCACCAAACACACAGCAAAACCTTCCTGGCCGTCAATCCCGGCTTGGCCACTGTTTGGGACGATTCACCGGTCTTCGACCACGACCGTTTGATATTGTCGTATGTGATCTATTTTTCGTCGCCAGTCACCATCCGCTTCAAGAATGTTTCGAGTTCGTTCCTTTTCAGCAGCATATCGCAGGCGTTGATTCGGTCCAGAAGGTTTTTTTGCGTCAAATTATGCGGCACTCAAACATCAAACTTTTTTTTGTATCCAGCCATCTGCAGATGGTTCAAAATGGTTTGGTGACTAACTCCAATCTCCTGGGCGATGTCACGAGATGCCATATGCCGGTCTAACTCGATGTATTCCATGATTTGATCGGTATTTGTCGTCACCGGTCTTCCGCCGGCTGGCTTATCCATGGTGTCGTTTTCACCGGCTCTGAATCGTCGAAACCATTCCTTCGCGGTTCGAAGTGATAGAGTACCATCCCCCAAAACACCATTAATCTCACGGAACGTTTCTCTAGCGGATTTGCCTTTAACGCGTTAGTGAACTCCATGTTTACACGTCTATAACTGTTGAACGCAATATCCAAACTAATCTTGCATAGCGTTGTTTTGTAGGTTATGTCAAGACCTTTCAAATTATGTATAGTGTTGCCAGATGCGAGCTCTGTAGCGCTTTGTACATAGCCGCGAAATTCAAAAGACAAAAAAGCGGAAGGGAGATATTTGACAACCTTATATATAATCATAGATATATATTTGGTACTTTGTAACCTCGTTCAATTTGTAGTTTTTGCGTCTTCATGATTTTCCAAACAAATGGAGACTCCAACAGTTTATACTAAAACGCCTTCGAATGAGAGACAAGAGTTCTATGAGGACCTTTTCTTTCATGTCAGAAATGAACTCGGAGGGATTGACATTCCCTGCCGAGGGGCGAACGTAATTAGAAAAATTAACTTCATTTTTTCTTTTACTTAAATTATTTTTCATTATTTTCAGTTAGTTTTTTTTTTGTGTTCAAAGAATTGTTTTTTGAAGCAAGAAAATAAATCATTCAAAGTATTGTCCGTCGGAAGGACTATTTTCTCCAATCTCTCAGATAATTTTCGAATATAATATATATAATTGGCACTTTGTAACCGCTGGAGCGATTTTCAGTCGAGCTCCTACTCAAATTTGTGGTTTTGAGAGTTGATGTTTTTCCAACAAATGAAAATGAAACATATTTTTTTTTATTTAAATTAATTTTCTTTTTGATGTTGGTCACACCGGGATTTGAAACCTGCCCTTCCGAATGGCACTAAACAATGCTAACCATTCGGCTACTGCGGCTGTCAATATTTGAATACCATATCAAAAAACTAAGTCCTGAGCCGGTGACTTCTACAATAATTAGTTTTGCCGAAAAAGCCGACTACGGACAAAGTCTGGAGAATATGGCAGACGTAGTAAGATCTCTCATTTCGGTTCGTTTCTGTCCGTTTTCCACTCAATACATGGCTCAAGCGAATTAGTTATAGTCGACAACGTTTCGCAACAATGGTTTCGCCTACCAACCAACTTTTTTGGTTAGCTAGGACGCTCCTGGTCTTCGACGCTTTCGAAGCGTCGGAACGATTCCCCCTTAACTTCCAAAAGCTTTTAATGCGTTTCAGCGGCGAAGTTCACGTGGAGGAATGGTTCAAATAATTTGTATAAAATTTTGCGTAAAAAATGGAATAGAGGTGTGAAGTGTGAAATCAAGGGTTTATGATTGGTATAGGCTTAACAGCGACTAAAGAAAACGTGGGAAAAGTGATATGAAAGAAAAGCCGAATGGAATTTAGAAAAGTCGCTGGTCATTCACACCATTTTTTCCAATATTATAACACGTGACGTTGAAGGTTATGACGTTTAAGCCGAACGTATTTTGCATGAAACTACTAAAAAAAAAACGCTCGGATTTTTCTCAAAACCATTTGTGGCTTTTGCATCGTGAACTATTGTTCAAAAATAATACTGTAATAATGTATCAGCTTTACTTCATATTCCCAGACTTGACTCGGGTGACTATTTTTTTTCCAAAAAATAAAAAGCCGTCCTCACACAGCCGTAGATGACATTAAAAACTTATCTGAGAGTAGTAAAGTATATTTCAAAGATACGAGTTTGAGAAGTGTTCGGAGATTGCAAGATGCGGTGGTCATATCTAATGGTAGTCCCATTTGAAGGCGACAACATCAATATAACCAAATATATACATAATATTTTGTTCAAAAATTTTAGAATTCGCGATATTTTTTTAAACACACCTAGAATATCTATATATGCAACTTACGTAAGCAATAAAAAATATTCTTTCAGTAAAAGTTTTCGTGAGCTTAAAAAAAAGTAGTGAGAAAGTGTACTCAAGACATTCCTCGTAATCGTGGTACTTCCAAGGCGAATACTTCGAAGAGCTTGAGCGGTTAAGGCACTTGATGATAGGCTGTCGATTTGAATTAAAAACAGGTAAAGAAAACTAAGTACGTGTGGAAACGCAAATTAAACATTCGGATTATATTTAGATTAAGTCTGATCGGTTAAAAATAGAAGGTTTGAAAGAAGAAGGGACCATTTCTGAACCTATAAATACCAGCCAGAGTTTTGGCAGAGCTTTAATCTAATTTAATAAATGCAGAATAACTGCCAATTTTAGTCTTGAGTCAAGCGGGGCTAAAAGAAAAAGTTCCGTTATATGGATTAAGGCACAGTTCAAGGTGAATTTATAGAAGATGAAGTTGTCACAGCAAATGATTGCTTATTCTTCCTTCGATTTCAACAAATTACACAAACAAAATACATGGGAAATAGGTTCGTTCGTTTACAAAAACAAAATACATTGAACAATTTTCGTTGATTTTTCGAAACTACGATTACACAAACAAAATACATTGCATTTTTGTTTTTGTATTCTTGCAACTACCGTGTGTAAATTTACCATGGCGCAATTGTTGCTCGATTGCCTTCATATTTAATAACTGTATGTTACACTAGACCATGGGAACTACAAATATATAAAGTTTCTCAGGTTTGTTATCACACCCAATCGAAATTTTTTTCCACCCCTCAATTTTTTCCTTTAATTTTTCCTAACTAATTTGACTTTAAAATCGCACATTTAATTCCATCCATTTGGAATAGTCTCCGTATTTCTGAACCAAGTTTCAACAACATATAATATCTTAGTTCCTACTGGAGTTATCGTATATTGAACGCTCTTACACTCTTCTGATGGTCATGTACATACGTGTTTGTGAATTCATTACTGAAAACTTACGTGAAATTCAATTATATCTTTAGTTGGTTTCATAGTATTGAAATCGCTTGAGATAAGTCTGAAAATTTGATTTGTTATATTCTCCTTATGGCAGCATAATGTGGCTTTGGCATCTTCTAATATTTTAATATTATTCTTTATTATATAGAAAACTGTTTTCTTTATTTCTTTTTCAAAATTGTAATTAGCCACCAAACGGGCACTGAGTTTTTCACGTTTAATTGGCTTAAGGATGTTACGGGGTATAATTTCCATATTTTGAAGCACAAATGATTCAGTCAGTGGAGTCGCGAAATTAATGGAAATAATTGCAAAAGTAGGTGCATCAATTATATTTGCCATGCCTGATTTGGTGGAGGATTTTTTCGAAGTTGATGTGGGTTTCGGATCGGTTGAAATCAACTCCACCGCAAACCTTTTACCAGTTACTGCAGGAAAAATAATCAATTTTAATTGAAATAAATAACTTTTACTTGTTTGTTACTTGCCTTCCGGATAAAGCAGTATAGACACATCAAACCGACCCTTGGCGATTATTTCATTCGCTTGATCGGCTCGATACAATTCAACTAGAATTTGTTGCTCATCAAAAGTAAGCACGTCCTCCAAGACACGTACAAACTCTTCGTTTAGTACGTAACGATGTGCGGCATTGCTTGATACTACAAAATCTTCCAAATTGACATATTTTATATTAATTTTTGAATTTTCCGCAAAGACAAGGTGACGAAATATCATATAAGTATTAATCGAGTAACGTGTGCAAATACCAATGCAATCGATATTTTGTGGTTCGACACTTTTCAAAGTTTCCCAAGTGAGTTGCATGTCAGGAGCGGTTATTTGTTGCTCTTTAAAATTGGTAAATGTGCAAAACTTGATTTTTTCAAACTCATTATTTTCATTGGGTAATTTCGATTCAAAAAATAAATCGGCTACTAAAGAATCGGTATTTTCGCTTAAATTTGATCTCACATTGAAGATGGACTCAAACGTAATGTATACCATGTTGTGGAAGGACATATCCCTGAGTAGTGGCAATAATGTGTATACTTCCCAAGTTGTGGTACATGAACCTAATGACTTTTCCGATATCGATAGTTTATACAAAATGCTATAGAATGTGCTTAACTCTCGTTTCTTAGTATAAAGTTTTAATAGATCAATATGACCTTGTGCGAGGGGAATTAACTGTTCTTCGAATATGTCCGATTCGTCTTCTTCTTCTAGCATTTCCGTTTCTTCTTCTCTCTCATCATACACAATTCTGCTACTCTTGCTACTCTTTCGATTACGTTCTTTGTTCTTACCTTCATTTGCATTTGTGACACTATGCTCTCTACGCGCTCCTGCATCTGCATTTTCTTTATTTTTATTCATGTCTGCTTTCTTTAGTGCATCTTTTTGCTTCTTCTTATTCTTATTCATTACATTTTCATTATGCACCGCTTTAGCTTCCTGTATGGCCGTTTCTTCTTCAACTTCCTCACGTGACACTCGCACCATCGCTCTATTGCAGAGCGTTATTAAAACGGGATTATCACTTAAAATATTCGCATCATTTATGTTGTCTTGTTCGACCATGAGACTAAACGTCGGCTTGTATTCATCGAATTTCGATAAATCTATAATGTTATCCGCTGGATAGGAGTCCTCCAGTTTTGTAAGCGTATTCTTAGCTTGGCTCAAATGTATTTCCAATTTTCCATCAACTTCCGGTAGATTCTCCACCTTCTTCAATTGCATGTAAATAAATATTCGCTGCGCTTTTGGCTCAACATCTATGATTTTCTATAGAGAAAATTCGGTTTCGACTTTTAATTTCCCTTCTGAATAAAAAAAAAATAAAATAAAAATTACCTCAAAGATGGACATTTTGTTGCGTATGAAAAATTTTAATTTTTCCTCGCTGACAAATGTGTTTGATTCTTTACAGGCTTCTTGATTGTGAATAAAATTTTTGATTTTGTTCAAACAAAAGTTGTGTTCGTTGAAAAATGTCAGTCAAACTCAAGGCGAATTTATAGAAGGTGAAGTTGTCACATCATATGGTTGCTTGTTCTTACTTCTATTTCAAAAAAATTACAAAACCAAAATTATGAGAAATAGGTTTTGTTATTTCGAACATTTGTTTACACAAACAAAATACACTGAAATTGGATCGTGCAGAGGATCATCCTCAGTTAAGTGACTTTTTAAGTTAATATTTTTATTTAAAATTTATTGTATTTCAGTATTGATGAAATTATATATGCTTTATAGGAATCCAACGATAAAGGTATCAAAAGGTGTTTTCTAAAAAGGCCTCTAATAGAACGAGTATTGATGTTGAACATGCTTCGCAACAATTTGTCGCTTAGATTTTCAGTAATGATGACCGAAATACGGAAATAAGCTTGAAGCTGGCCATATTAACTCAACAATATTATAGAGTTTATTCGATGCTGTTTAATTAAAACCAAGCAAGAGCTTTATTTTTCCTTCTAAATGTTACCAATATTTCATTTTGTGCATCGTCGTCGCTTACGGAAAATTAAATGCATTATGCTCATTGTGGCCGTAGAAGCAATTTTGCTTTGAATTCATAGTATGACTCCTTGGGCCTTAACTGCTATCTGGTAAATTATAAAAAATCCATAACCAACCGTTGTAATAGAAATAATAATATATACTAATTCTATGCCTTCCTCACTTTCTCAACGAAAACTGGTTGGTGTGCGGGCGATGATTCCACTCCGCTGCCACCACATTTTCGTTTAACGAGTGGCTTTACTATTGTTGGAATCATTGACATTTTCAGTTAAATTCAACAACATGACAATTAACCTCCTATTTTGTTGGTATATACTACATAATTCATATTAAAGAATTAAAATTATTATAATTTTAAATCAATTTTGTTTTGTTGACAAAAATTCACAAATCAGCTGTTTTCATACTTGCTAGTTTTTACTGGATCAAATTTCCCCAGCACGAATTTCTTTAACTAAACGTTTTTGGCTCAAAGAACAAGATAAAGTAAAGTTAGGTAAGAAATGTTTCTGCCCATCTAGTAAACGAACAGAACTAAAAATTGTACTCAATCACGTTTGACGTTTAGGAAAGTATTTAACAAGTAAGGAAGACCAAAATTAGATTTAATGACTTAAATATGAAATTTTCAGTCTAATTGTAAGTGTAAAATAAAAAGTAATACATTTCATAGTAGAACATGGTAATTATTATTTTTATGTATGCCAAAGATGTGCAACGGTGTGGAAGACCAATTGTCGAAAATGTGGACAAAAATAAAGAAAATCGTCGAGTCTGACCGTCATGAGAGCATTGCTTCGACTGCCCAGAAGCTAGGCATTTCACAAAAAAAAAATCAACTTGGAACCACTTGAGAACGGCTGGATACACAAAGACCTTCGTTGTATGGGGGTCACATGAGATAACGAGGAAACATCTCATACACCGAATTTCCATTTGAGAATAAATTATAACAAACTCGACACATGTCTGAAGCGGAAGTGACGCGAGATGAAAATTGGATCATATACAGCAACGTCAAACTAAAAAACGGTCTTGGTCGCAGGGCAGTGACACAACACAACCGGTCTCCAAGCCAGGTGTTTGGTGGAATTGGCAAGGAATCTTCCACTATGAGCTGCTACTTCATTTGAAGCTGTACTGTCAGCAATTGCAGCCTCTGAAGGAAATAATTGCCCAATAGCGCCCTGTTCTGACAAACAAGAGGAAATTGTGTTTCATCAGGACATCGACAACGACTCGCCAAGAGTTTCCAGACCTGGGTTGCCATTCCGGACATTGGAAAGAGTGATTACCATCTGTTACTGTCTGTGGCGTATGATTTGTCATAGGTTTTTATGTGGTTATATGTAAAATAAATGTAAATGGCCAAGTTTCATTGTAATTATTTGAAAAAAAAGTAATAATGATAACTGTAACTTTTTCAAATGTGTTTGATGAAAAACGTATATTGCTTATATATTATATTTCATAAGCAAAAAGATACTTTAAAATTGCTATTATTCATTGCATAGGAAATATAAAGGTAAAGGTCAATAACTAGACAGGGAATGTCAACCCCTCCGAGTGTATTTCTGACATGAAAATAAAGCTCCTCATAATAAAGTATCAGCCGTTCGGAGGCGGTTTAGTATTAACTGTATGTTCCTTCATTTGTTGGAAATACATCAAGACGCAAAACCGAAAAATGGAGGAGGAGCACGACCGAAAACTCTCACCAGCGGTTACAAAGCAACCGATGCCCAGATCATATTGCATTTATGGAGGGAACACTTCTTCAACCTGTTGAATGGCAGTGAAAATGGAACACCAGGAGATGACGAAACCGAGACCCCAATCGATGACGGTCGAAAAGACGTTCCATTACCTGACCATGAAGAAGTACGAATAGCAATCGCCCGCATAAAAAATAACAAAGTGGCTGGAGCTGGCGACCTACCGGCAGAACTAATCAAACAAAGTACATGGATCAGCTATTGTGCTTTGTAGAATATGGTCGGACGAAAGCCCGACGATTGGAATTTAAGTGTGCTCTGTCCAATCCATAAAAAAGAGGACATCATAGTCTGTGCCAGCAAACTGCTTTAGACCTGGTTCACCAGTACCAGATATTCACCATGCACCAAACTTTGGAAAATACCCGTGGTAAGAGGATCAACACCCATCACCTCTTTGTTGATTTTAAATCCGTCTTCGACAGCACGAATAGGAGCTACCTTTACGCCGCTATGTCTGAATTTATTTAGTTTCCTCGCAAAACTTATACGGCAATGTAAACTGATGTTAAGCAACACAAAAAACCTCCGTCGAAATCGGGAAGTACCTCTCCGAGCCGTTCGATACCGAACGAGGTTTCAGACAGGGTTATTCTTTATCGTTTGACTTCTGTAATTTGATTTGAGAATTATAAGAGCGGCAGAGTTGAAAAGAGAAAGTACAACCTTCTATAAGATTGTACAGCTGCTGGCGTACGCTGATGATATTGACATTATTGGTCTCAACCATCGCGCCGTGAGCTTTCTTGATAACAGGTGTGGTAGTATACGACGACAAGACGAAATATCACCTGTCATCAAACATACAGTCATCGCATTCCCGTCTCGCTCGCTCCGATGTTACTGTTGACATTCATAACTTTGAAGTCGTAGACAACTTCGTCTATATTGGAACCAGTATTAACACCAACAACAATGTCAGCCTGGAAATTCAACGCAGAATCACCCTCATCAACAGGTTCTACTTCGGACTGATTAGGTAAAGTCCTCACTCGACGATCGGAGGCGTGGACGATGACAACATCTGATGAGTCGGCGTTGGGAGCTTTCGAGAGTATGGTTTTGCGTAAGATTTACATTCTTCTACGAGTTGGTAACGGCGAATACCACAGCCGATAGAGAGACGAGCTGTATGAGTTAAACGTCGACGTTTACATAGTTCAGCGAATCAAGAAACAGCGGCTATGCTAAGTTAGTCATGTGGTACGGTTGGATAAAAATACTCCATATTTCAATGAGTACCCGCCGGTGGAAGCAGAAGAAAAGGAAGTCCTCCACTCCGTCGGAAGTACCTGGTAGAGAAGAGGCTGGTTCTACTTTGTGTCTCCAATTGGCGCCAAGCAACGAGAAAAATGTGTTGTAAATTCGGCTAAAATCGCGAACTGTTTCTGTCTACGCAAGTAAAATAAGTAAGTAATTTATATTTTCAACTTTTGTTTTCATATTTCTGGATAGAAACTTAATTTGGTGTTAAAAATTCGATAAAAGTTTACTTTCAAAAATAATTTGAATTTTGCTAGAAGGCTTTAGGAGTACGAATACATACATTAAATAAAAAATAAAATCATCCAGTTCGCACTTTTACGGGAAAAAATGCTCTAAAATACTTATTTTGAAACATGTTGAAAACAAATGCTTCATTAATTAATTGCCGTTAGTTTCGAAGTAGCCCGTAGTATCGAAGTTGAAAGGCATGCCATAATAGGAATTGGCTGGTTGCCCTTGACTATCGCTTCTGGTGCGACTCGCGGGCAAAAACTTGAATGTCGAACGTATGGTGGTAAACTTACAATTGTTTGGAACGTTATTGGCCCATCACAGTGCCGTATGGCGGCAGAGTGCAGGAGACACACTACTTCGTGCTGCATTGGAATTGAATAGAACATTTATTCACGATGGCAAACGATGACTGGTGCGCATGTGTTGAACTCCATCGTGATAATGTCGAAATGCCTCACATTGTTTTTTAAAACCATCTAGCTGGTTTTGGGCTCCTGAACATGCTAAAATATTTAGCGAAACGTTGGGCAAGAAGTGAAAAAAATTAATTTTAGTTGCATTAATCAAAAAAAAAAAAAAAAAAAAATCAGCTAAGCCTAAAAAATAAATCAAAAATCTGGAATTGTAATTTATTTTAATTTATGAATATATTTAAACAATGTTACTAACTCTTCAAATAAGTTTGATCCAGTATACTTACAGGCGTTAATTTTGACATAAAAATGTTTAAGCAGGATTAAGTGTCGGGCACAAATTATATATTTATAATTGCTTTTGAGGCGCAATATTAATTTTTATTATTATTTATTTTATTTTGAATCTGTTGTTGCATTATTTAATACATTACTAATCAACAACAATTAAATACGCTATTTTAGCTGCTATTTTCTTAATAAATTGGTTAGTGAGTTTGCTCAGAAATATTGCATAGCTTCAGGCGTTAATTTTGGCTAAAGTATCGGGCTCAAATTATATATTCATTTTGTTTTTTGCGATTTGTACTATTAATTTTTGTCGTACGTTTTTTAATGTATAAATTTTTTTTTAGGATTTGGGTATAAATAGAGCTGCCAGGACAAATGATTGGCATAGTTCCACGATCACTCAAAGTGTTAAAACGTGCCAGAGAAGTGACCAGTTAAAAAAAAATAAAAAGCAAAAAAATTGTCTAAACCATTAAGTAATAACCAATTGAATTTTTTCTTATATACCCGTTAAGTTATATACATTAAATACATACGGAGGCAGAAAACATACACGATGGCTTCAAATACAAATTCACCAACCACCAAGCCTAAGCAACCTTTCAACGCAGACGCAAAGCAACCAAAGACATTGAGTCCCGAGGATTATATCGCCATATGCCGTCATGGCGGCCTGATTACATACCATCCAATTACAAGTATACCATATGTGTCGCAATCGAATTTTAATCTGCCAACTTTATCTGCGGTATTAACCGCTTGCCAATCAATCAATAGGCATCCTGGCATGTCTAATGGGGGCGAAGAAATAAGTTTTCGAACACTCTTCGTTAAAAATCTCGAAGAGAACCATACAAAAAGAGACTTGTTTACTTTGTTTGGACCGTATGGCAAAATTATAACTTACCGCATAATACTGAATAAGGTGGGGCGAGTTTATGGATTTGTGACTTTTCTGAATCCGGATTCTGCTTTGGCTGCGTTGATGGACTTAAATGGCAAGTTAGTAGGTAATGGTAGGTTAATTGTGGAACCTGCGCGCCTGCAGTGGCCCCAAAATATTTGGCAAAAATTACCTAAAACACCCTATAAACGCTCAATTCACTATAAGCGAAAGTCTCAGTACGATACCAAAGTAATATAGATAGTATGTCTTTGTTTTTGTATGTATATATGTACATATAATAATATAAAAATGTAAATACACATATAATGTGATAAAAAATTATAGGAAAATAGAAAAATGACGGCTGCTATGGGAAAATATTGAATAACTGCTCAAAATCAAACGTTATAAAATCCGAAAAGCAGTTAAACTGACAAAATTAAAGATGCGAAAATTCAAGTTTTGACAACAACATACATATATGTATGTATGTAACTGAAACGATGACCTGGAAAATGTTGTTCTGTGTAAAGGAACAGTTAAGTTTCTATATTAATTTAAAATTATTATTATTATTATTATTATTATAATTATTATTATATCCAGTAAGTGTTACTATTTTTGTTATTTGTTGTAATCTTAAGAACTTACCCTTTATTTGTGTGTTAGATAATATTTTGAAGTCGATGAGTGATTTGAGGTTATTCTCAGTTTATCAGTTATATATATTAATCATGTACTTCCTCTCAAGTTATGATATCGCGCAAACAATATCAACTTTTCTAGAACAATTTACTACAATTTTTTACTTATTTAGTCTATAAACTACTTATTATGTAAAATAATTATTAAAAAAAATAAAAATAAAAATAAAATATTCAGATATTTAGCTTTTTGAAGACGATATATTAGTTCGAATAAAACTCGAGATTAGATTGACTTTCATTAAAATTAATTTTAAATTTTCCCACAAAAGAGAATATGGGGGTAGTTAAAATCAATTAGGATAATTAATAAATAAAAAAATAAAATAATAGATACTTTTGCTTTCAAAAGCTTTTTAGTTTAATTTAAAAGAAAACGAGAATCCTATACCGAGATGCTATTATAAATCCTCACTGAGGCAAGTACGTTTAATACAAATCACGTAATTAATGCTGGACCTAGTTGAAAACATCACGATTCAAAATATATCGGACGAAAGCTGTTTTCAGTAAAGATGTAATTAATAATTGAAAACTATGTAAGTATACTATTTATGCTCCAATGATAGGATAGTAATAGCGAGAGGTGGCTTTAAGGCCAGGTTCCTCCAAAAAACGTGTTTTTTAAAACAAATATTATGTATAAAAAAATTATTTATAATTTAAAAGTTATATAGATAAGTAGACGTATAAAAATATTAATAGAAATTTTTTTCTAAATGACGTCTCTTGAAATTGATGCTGCAACACCATCCTGAAAGCAAAAATTATAACGGTTTCTTGTTCTGTGTCACATTGGATATGGCCGGAACTACAAAAAACATTTTCACAAAAAATAATAAAAAAAAAATCCGAACTATTTAATTTTTTCTACGCTTTTTCCAATTTTAATTGCTTATAATTTTTTTTAAATAATAAATATTTTTAGTTGTAGTTCCGGCCATAGAGAGATATTTTAGGAATAAAATGCCGTTAAGTTCATGTTGATCAGTTTAATAGGTTCTAAAGGAGAGTGTCACCCAGTTGGTAAGACGTGGTCTATAGAAAAAGGTGACTAAAGTATTTGTTCGTGAGTATTTACCGCTTGGCGCGCTTCGCTCTCCCCACTTCTATACTTACTTCTTGGTCTTACAGATCTTCGGGACTAAGTCTATATTATTTTTTAAAATTGTGTTTTCTAGCAATTTACAGGAAAAAAACGTTATTTGTTTAAAATTTTTTTGGAGCAATCTCAGCTTAAATAAATCGAAATAGAACGAATAATTAGAGATTAAAGCTAATTTGCTCAATCCACTAAGCCATTGCTGATGTCATAAATAAATAGTAATGACTGGATAGATCGTCGAAGAGTAAAATGTTTCAGATTTATTAGCATACATCGAGAAGCATAAGAAGGTAGGAGATCAGCGAAATTAATTACCGCAAGGGTAAAACGAATACTCCGACGTTGGAGGGTTTCAAGTCTAGAGGAATGTGTATAATAAATTGTCTTCCAAATTAAGCTAGCATAATTACTACAAATTTGAACGAACCAAAGAATTATATTTAATTTTACGTGTGTAGTGATCTTAGAAATCACCACCAAAGAAACCGCCGTAAGAAAGCAAGATTAGAATAAGCTTTAGGAATAATACAATTATCACATCAACTGAAGGTTAATCCCACATCAAACAGTACGTTAAGATCATTCTGTGCATTTACTTACTTACTTACTTTACTGGCGTAGACACTGCGAAGGCGATTATAGACGAGTTAACTACATTGAGCCATTCGTTTATTCTTTACGCTGTTGGCGCCAATTGGAGATACCAAGTAGAGACAGGTCCTTCCAACAGAGTGGAGGTATTCCTCTTCCTCTGCTTTCAGCGGCCGGTAGTGCATCAAAAGTTTTTAAAGCTGGAGTACTCTTATCCATGCGGACAACATAATCTAGTCAGCGTAGCCGCTGTCTCTTTTTTAGTTGAACTATGACAGTGTCGTCGTATATCTCATGCAGCTCATCGTTCCATCGGCTGTGGTATTCGTCGTTACCAACTCGTAGAGCACCGTAAATCTTAAGAACCACTGGGCCCATCGGGGTTTGGGGCAAATCATGACTTGGTCAAACATCTCCGAACATTTCCGGTATATCGGCACACACAGCCTTGTCACTCCGTATAAGCATTTCAGAATGACCGTAATCGGCCCTCGCCATCCACGATTACCTGGTGGTTAATTATTTTTCCATATGGTGTGAACAAATTGAAAAAGTCCATGAGGTGTGTGGTTCGCTTGACTATTTCTAACGTAGAGATTTCTCATAACCGTTGGTTGGCCCGTAGTATGGAAACTGTAAGTGAGATGGAAGTTGGCTGGCTGCCCTCGACTATTGCTCCCGGTACAACTGATGGGCAAAAAGTTGGATGCGTAACATATGGTGGTACACTTACAATTGCTTGGAACGTTATTAGGCCATCACAGCGGCGTATGGCGGCATAGTGCATGGGACACATTGCTTCGGACTGCATTGGAATTTAATAAAAAATTTGGCCATGATGGCATTTAATTCATATGTATTTTACTCCATTGTGAATATATATTTTGAATTATGTAATTTATATTAACTTATGAATATATTTCAAAAATTTAACTGAATATTGCTTTAACTCTTTAAATAAGTTTAAATTATTTTTTAATATTGTTTTATTTTAAATTTCTTATTTTGTAGCTGTTTACTGGTATCGAACCAACGGATCCCGACTTAACAGGCGAGGGCTCTACCTCTACGTCAGCATCAGCCAAGTTATCTGTTGTTGCAATATTTAATTCATTATTAACCAACAACTACTAAAACCGCTAATTTAACCGCTATTTCTTTAATAGCACGATTAGTGAATTTGCTTAGTAATTCTGTATACTTTCAGGCATTTATTTTGACCGAAAATTTATAAGCAGGATTGAGTGTCGGTTGGTGTCGGGCTCAAATTATATATTCATTTTGTTTTTTGCGGTCTTTACTATGAATTTTCGTACGGCGACTATGATATATATATAACATATATATTTATATTATTAATTTTTATAAATATTTATTCTATTTTCAATTCGTTGTTGCATTATTAAATTTTTTTATAAACCAACAACTATTAAGTGCATTAATTTAGCCGGTGTTTTCTTAATAACTTGTAAGCGAGTTTGCTTAGTAATACTGCATACTTTCACTATAGCTTTGCTATTCACTCATCACTATAGCATATCAATTATGTCAACACAGAGAATAAATTGCTTGTTTTAATTTTTGTAGCCTGCTAAATGGCATATTTCAAATTTGATACCTTTTTGTAAGACTGGTAGAAACTGCTTACTTAATCCAAAGAACGTATTCATATACGTTCTTTGAAACTGCTTACTTAATCTCAGGCATAAGTATAAAATTTAGATTTTCTAATTCCAAGTACCCTGTGTCTCTTTTTTAATTGTTCCGCAATGTGTCAACATGCAACCCTGTATTTAGGCATTTGGTAATCCTATATTTACAAATTCGACAACAAGAAGCTCATAAAATATTTTCTGTCTAGTGTGGGTTACTGAATAAAGCAGTTTAAATAAAATTATTGTATTGAAGAGAAAATAAATCAAAATTTTTACTCAAGACAAAATAGCATAACAATGCTTACCTCCAGGCATACAAAAGAAAAGACTGCAACTGCAGAAGCGCGTTTAGGCTCTTTCTCACCAGATAATGAGAGAACAGCTTGGAAGGGTTGGTGTCGCTTATGTGCTAAGGAATACGATGAAAGCCATTTGTGTGTGTTTCCCGATTTGCGAACTCCTAGTAGCATAATGGATAACACTTTACCTACAGCGATCGGCAAATTTTTCTGGGTTAATGTAAGTGTTTTTATTAATAGTTCTATGTATTAACACATGTTATTTGTTTGATATTGTTTTAGATGAGACCAAATGATGGGCTATCGACATTCGTATGTCTGGAATGTCACACACTTGTGACTTCCTTGACACAATTTACCGAACGAGTTAACAAAGTACAGGCCATGTTCTGTGCATTACAAAACACAGATGCTGCAGACCTTAATGAAATCAGGCTCCAGTATGGAATATTAGATAATGAGTGGGAACATATTATCAAACTTGAATGCATTTCCGATAATAAGGAGTTCATTGCTGACAAAGAATCAAATGAAGAATGCGAATGGGAATTAGAAGGCGAAAATAATAAGGAAGAAACAGAAACATTTGAGCTGGAGACAAAAAACGAAATAAAAGAAGATGGTAACTATTCATTTGAACTTGTTAGGCGCGGCATAAAAAGAAAACGGGAGGCTTGCGATGACAATCAGGAAGAAGATAGTGAAGATGACGAGAATATTATATCTATTGGTGCATTAGCAGGGGACACCGATGATTCAGAAACCCATTTTATAATTGAAAATACGGAAGGTACCGATGAATTAGATGACGCTGAGCTTCTAAGACAATTGAGAGGAGACGATGATGACAACGATGAAGAACCGGTAAAAGAGGAAAATAAAGGCGAAGTGCATGAAGAACAACCTGATGATGAAAAACCGGAAGATAGTTATGAGCAACTTAACTTACAAGAAGAAGCCTTAGACGAAAATGATGAAACTGATGAAACTATGGAGGGTGAAAAATCTGCGCAGGTTAATGAAATAGATTCAAGTAGTTGTGTACGTAAGAAACGTCGGGGACGACAACCCAAATACAATATTGAAACCATAAAAGATGATGCTGAGTCTGAGGATGATGCAAATGAAAATTCACAGACATCTTACAAATATGATTGTAGCATATGCCATAAAAAGTACAAAAATCCAACATCGTATCGTAAACATGTTTTGGAAAAACATAACAAAGAGCCGGATATACCTGATTTTAAATGTGAAACGTGTAATAAAATATATCCTACTGAGCGACAACTAGAAATACATGCGCGATCGCATCTCGCGCTCGAGGATAAACTTGATATACCATGTCCATATTGTGAACGTAAATTTACAAAAGTCTCAGTGATGCGCCTGCATGTTCAGGGAATACATGAAAATAAAAAACCATATATTTGTGACGAATGTGGGCGTTCCCTGAAAACATTGGCAGCATTGGCCGAACACAAATTAGTGCATACAAACGACACACCCTACGAATGTGATGTGTGTCAGCGGGGTTTCAAAAATAAAGCACGCCTAAAGGTAAATACATTTTTTAAATATATACATTTGAGCCTGTACTAATCTAGAATATTTCGCAGGTGCATTTGGAGACTCATAATGACTCCTCATACATCTGCACTGAGTGTGGCCTCAAATTGAATACACGCCGCACATTAAAAATGCACATGCTAGTGCATTCAGACGCCAAACGCTATAAGTGTGACTTTTGTCCGGCGGCATTTAAACGCACTAAAGCACTGAAAAACCATCTTATACTTCACACCGGCATGCGACCTTATAAGTGCAATTTCTGTGAGAAAACCTTTTCAAATGGCTCTAATTGTCGATCACATAAAAAGAAGATGCATGCTCAAGAGTTAGCAGAGGAAGAAGCATTGGGCAAGAAGTCTGAAGCTGTTACGGTACCCAAATTGGAAGAGCTGCGCTCGAGGTGAGTTCACCAAATTTGAATAAAATTTTAAAGTTACATTATTAACATTCCGTTCTCTAAATATATTCAGTACAAACGTTGTTGGAAATCCGCGTAAGGTTCAACGTCATCATGGTGGTTTGCCTCTACATATGCGACAATTGTTAATCGCAGCCGAGGAGCGTGCAAAACGTGTGGAAAACACAAAGCAAACCAATGATATGCAATCAAGTGATACCGTTGGAATATCTGGAGAAGAAACACATACGCAATCCGCTACGGGTTCGGCTCTACAATTGGACGATGAAGATGGATCAGAGTTTATTGAATTAAATGAGGAATTATTAAAAGACTTTCACGATGGCAATGATGATGAAGATGATGATGATGATGATAATGAAATGGTTGTATATGAAGTAATTGCTGAAATTTAAATTCCATAAAATGTTACTTACAAAACGTAAGAAACGAAACGGTGCGAAATGAATGAATGATGCATTTCGACATGTTTGTTTATACGCATAAATGCAATGTGTATGCAGTCAAATTATGGATTTGCATATTTGCAATATAGGCACTCTGGTAATTTGAAAGGAAGTTATTTTTAATATTTTTTAATATTAGAATAAATTATATTAGATGTAATAATTGTATTTTAGTTGTTTCATTTAAATTGTTTCAAACGTAATATGTAGCAAATAATCAAATAAAAATTTAACTATATAAACTTTTTAACTGTTTACTTTGAAAGTAGGGTTTATTTAACTTTTATTCTTAGTGAATGTTTTTTAGAAACTTCCTCGTTAAAATATCAATCAATCGACCGTAAAATTATGAATAGTTACTGAGGATCGACTCACTGTGATAGTTAATGGATAGTTAATCATAGTCTTGTAACAACAGTAACGTCTTAGTTTTTGAGGTTAAACAAGTGAACCGTTCATTTATTATCTTCTCTGTATGCTGCGAAAACTGCCAAGTTTTAGGTCGCATGGAGCCATTGTCGGTAACTGTGTTCCAAGTCAACAAATCGCTCAGACCACTTTGGATATCCTTTGGATAACAGACCTCTTCGGTCCAACAGAGTTCCTTGCAGCATGACCCCGAAGTTAAGCAAGTTAACCCGAAATCTCCTTGGACCCACATCAAGCTTCCGTGGAGGGGTTACGAGCACGACGAGCTGTAGTGTAACTAAACTAAAAATCTGCTCAGATCTTCTGGGCCGGATCGGTTTTAAAGATACAGGTGTGGCCTGCTATCGAGATTACGGGACATTTTACATCTTCTAAAAAGCTGACTGGTCACGAAATTCATCGAGAATTTGTTTGCCATTCCAGCTGATATAATTATTGTCCAACAACTTTTCTGCAAAATAGTCGCCACCGCAGTCAACCGCTACGTACTGGCTTGCCAGATCGCGTACATTCAAGCCGACTGTCTACGCCAAACCGAACTCGGAGATCAAATCAGGGAATTCAATCTGGAGTTTCGGAAAATTTGTTCACAATTGCAACAAATAAGGGGAACACATAAGGTACAAATATGCTGATGCTGAAACGTCTAGGTACAGCAGGAGCAGAATTGCTCAACAGGACTCAATCTGTCAAAGACCACTTAACAATATCATACATGTGGTAACTGGGTAGAGTGGTGCCGCCGAAATATACTCCAAATCGGTTTTTGGATTTTGGCCGCCTTTTACGACAGGATTACCCTACTGCTTGGAGAGAATCCTATCGACGAATATGTCTTCTATCCCCACTAGCGAAGACACTTCAGTTGGAGTGATCGGCGGTGAACACCATTCACCATGCGTCAGGTAACACCTTCAAAGACTCGGAGTTAAATCACCGCCTCCTACTCCTACCCAACGTATGTTCGGCATGCAATGATCACATGAATCACCTCTTTACGTTCCACATAAACCCTCTGGTCCGAACCCGTCGAAACAGCTTGTTTCCTGGATTCCCCGCCAGATGACCTGGGTGACTTAGACTAACTATCCTGCCGCTAAGAGGTGTTAGTGAAGCGCTACTATAACTACTACAACAACAACAACAAGACGTGCCTTACAAGACGCACGTACTAACCACCTCTTTGCATGTCGACTTCAACCACTGGCTTAAATCCTCCCTCCCTATTGCCTAAAAAGTAGTATTGCCTAAAAGATGTGGCTCAAGAATTTACCCCTTGTAAGGCACGCCTGTCGTAAGAGGCGACGGAAATCCAAGAGCTTTATACAGAAACCATCCGGCCGAGGCCTGTCACTCTCGCAATATTCCCCGAAAACCAATTCAGGGAATATTTTGTGGCTATAAAAACAATAACGACACAGTTACTCGTTAATGTCTAGCGATCTCAACGACAATTGGCCTTCTCTCTTATAGAAATTACGCTCGTGAAATAGATAGACACTTTTTACGACACTTCGGATATGGAAAGGACTCTCGGCTAGCGTAGAAAATGTTCGATTTTGCAAAGAAAAAGTTAGCTCAAGGAGCCAATTACCCATGAAGACAGTCCGATGCCTCACCTCTATCGAAGAGTCATCTGGAAACCAAATTGCGATTGCAACGATTCACGTTCTATTGGGATATGATTCAAAGTAAAGGCCAAAAGTAATTTATAATTAATTTTTTTATTAAACTAATAAACAAATAAGATTTTCCTGTAAATGATTAATGCCGATTTCGAAATACTTTCAGTCATGTAAGATATTTGTGTTGAAAATTTTCAATTTTCTCCAAAACAGATACGGTTAGGTCATTAATGTACTCATTCGCTCGCATCTCTGTCACGACGAAGTCGGGTAGACTACGTTTGCTGACGTAATGATTTGGTAAATTGACCTGGAAAGGATTTTCAATTAGTTCATGAAATTTCAAATTACCTAATCTCATCAACCATTTACCTTGTGTCGCGCAATCGATTTGAGGATAAGCCACAGCACGTAAAAACTGAACCAGACGGTGAAGTAGAGTGGTATGTACCACAATTTGCGGCCGATATAGAAGTAACTGTACTTCTTGACACGCGGTTCCGGTGGCGGCTCGGGTGGTGGCATCTCTGTAGTGACCGGCGGCAACGTTGGTGGCGGGTATGTGTGATGATCGTGATGGTGATGATCGTCGTAAATGATTTCGGGATAATGATGGAAATATTGTGGATATGCAGGGAAATGATCATGAAAACCGTAAGAATGATCGCTGTGTATATCGTGATAGGTGTCATGTATAAAGGGTTGAGCTGGCGCTACATCGGGTTGTTCCTCCATCCAGCCAGGTGGTGGTGTTGGGTACTCGGTATCATCAACAGGCGGTGGATGATCGTGATCATGATCTATTTTTTTAAGCATATAAAATAAGAAAATGCGTTTGTGCTTTTAAATTAGTCGAAAAAAAAAAGAACAGAGAACTCACCCCCAGCCATTGCACCTGCGTCATCACCGGTATTACTATCATCTGCACCAGCATCATTACCACCTGCATTCTTCCCAGCATCGCCGTCCATGGCGCTGGCGGGCAGTACACCGATTATATCATCCGAACCATTATCAGCATCCCCATCACCACCAACAGCGCCATTCATATTCTTCTGATCGTCATTGCCAGCGGGCATAGGTATTTTCGCAGCATCATTGCCTCCACCTGCTGCCGGCAAGTTTTCTGGATTAGTTGGTCCCGGGTATTTGTAGCCGGCGTCGTTATTGCTAGCTGCAGCTACTAATTTATAATTGCTATTCGTTTGAACCGGACCGGATGGTGTGGCAGCATAGCTGTTCACATTGCTGGATGGCAAGGCCGCATTGGGATCCTTATAAGGTGATTTGTAGTGAGAGTTTATGTTTGGCGGGAAGGAGTATATATTTTCTGGTGGTTTATATGTTTGTTGCACGATTTGTGATGCGGCTGCTACTTTAGTATTGCCGTTACTAGGTGGATGGGCGTGGTTGTGGTTATGGTTATGGTTATGGTTGTGATGGCGTGTAAATTGTCCGGCAGCGACGGCTTCACCTGGAGTGAAGCGATCACTAAATGGTGCTAAGAGGGGCAAGAAGAGAATTGTTGTTAAAGTGTTTCCTTAATCGGATTACAGGAATTAAATTTAATTTTAAAAATCGTGAAATATTCACGGTTCATTTATATTATATATCACATTTTGATCCAGCATGGACACCAACACCGGAAATCCAATCTAGAATCATTCTTGGTTATAGTTTAGATTGAGTGTATCTAGACCTATAACTGGATTCTTACAACCGCTGTAAAAGGAAGTACTTTCAGTTTATTCTAAACCACCTGCAAATGGCTTATGGATTTTGTTGTGAGGAGTGTTTTTATTAAGGGCCAGAAATATACTCGGAGGAGCTGACATTCTCTTCTAAACATTAATTCGCAGCCTATACCTTCCGTGTCCTGACCTACTGAGGCTGAGTAGATAATAGTAAAGTCGGCGTCGGTGTTCTGCCGTTTGGATGATGAGAACATCTACTAATTGGGCTTTAGGAGTTTTCGGAAACAGCAGAAATGATGAGCTGTACGGCAAAGTTTGACAGGGACAAAGCTCAATCAGATCGGCCTCATCGGCAGGGGACTTAATAATGTGTAAATTTCTAAACAAAAAATAAAGTTTTTCCAAAAACCCCTAATCGTTCCTAGAAGGCTTGAAACTGTAGGTCCTATAAAGATATAAGTATACTTCCATGCTGCTAAATGGCAATACCTATGGCAAATTTTCGGCTCCTAAATTCAGATTCTGTTCATATTCAAGGAGTAAAAAAAAATCAAATTAAGATGACAGGAGTATTTTTCTAAGTGAAACCTCTACAAGCAAAAGTACTGTTTTTTTCGGGGCGAGACTCCAAAAAAAAAAAGACACCCGTTTTGGTTTGGTCTTCAGGGCTTTCCGGCCCTATGAATTTCCTTTATAATGTGCATTTATCCATTACCTTTGCCACTAAGTTTATTAATTTCTGCTATATTTGGCGGTCTTCGTTGATTAAACGTCTGCGGATAGATTATTTTCCCAATATTAGAAGTAGTAACTGGTCGCTCGCGTAATGTTGGCGCCGGTATCGGTGGTGGACTTTTAATTAAAGGCGTGATAAGCTGATTAAAATTGTAAGATGGACGATTGTAGTCGACCGCACGTCCGGTTGATACATCATCCTGTAATGTTGGAGAGGGTTCCGCCGGCATACCATATACATCTGATTGCTCTTTCACAATATCAATTGGCAACACTGGATTTTCATCAGATGTGTGTTTTGAAGTGTCTGTTGCTTGTGATGGTGGACTCGGTTCCATATTATTTTCATAATTGCCTCTTATGTCTTGCTGTGGATTGTTTGTCGCTGGTGTTACGTAAAGTATAGGCTGTTCTGCAGCATACGGTTTTGATTGCTCGTCATAAGGAGAAATATTCTGTTCCTGTTGTTTCTGTGCTTGTTGCATTGACTCAGCTATTACCGGCGGTACGAGCGGGGCTGCTGTGGTTGATAGAATAGTTTCGCTTGTATTGAAACTGTTAAAGAGAGAATAGAAGAAATAGAAAATAAACATATTTGGTTAATACCATGGCAGCATAAAGCTTATAAATCAGCTAACTTATTAATATTATTCTATATTGAAACCATAAACTAAGGACAGAGACCCTAGTACAGATCATTGTGGGACGCTATTGTACTAGCGGAAAAAATCAATTCACTTCATTATTCAAGATCTCTTATGTACAGTACATGTATGTACATCACGAAGGTAAAAGCATCAAACATAGCCAATAGATCACATCGCTATGAAATGCAGAAATGTGAAATAAGATTTCATCGGAACCTTGACATCACTTAAATTCCGTCACTTCCAAGCACATCGTATTTCGACACATCGCATGTGATTATAACTTTTTTTCAGAGCCCTAACAAAACATCACATCTCATAAATTGCTATCATATGACATCACATTGCATCTTATGACATCATATCACACGATATTACATCATATCGATCTATGGTGAATCCAATTTTGAGTATCTTTCAATTATTGAGAGTATATTTAATCAAACCTAGCCAATAGATCACATCGTTATGAAATCCAGAAATGTTAATTGAGTTACCATGGGAGCCTTAAGGTTCGTTCCTTTCACTGTACATCATATCTCAGCACATTACATCATATGACTCATACCACGTGTGGTTTTAGCTTTTTTCAGAGCCTTTACAAAGCATCACATCTCATAAATTGCTATCATATAACATCACATTACATCTTATGACATTATCTCACATGATATTACATCATATCGATTTGTGATGAATTTATATTGAGTCTCTTTCAATTATTAAGGTTATATTTAAAGAGGTTTCTTAGGATATGTACAGTACATGTATATGTACATCATACTGATAAAAATATCAAACCTTGCCAATAGATCACATCGTTATGAAAGTCTAAAATGTTATTTAAGATTCTATCGGAACCTTAACATTATTTCGTATCACATCACATTATATTCGTTTACATAACAGTACACCATATTTTAGCACCTTACATCATGTAAATCACATCACATGTGATTTTAGCTTTCAACTTTTTTCAGAGCCTTTACAAAACATCACATCTCCTCATTTGTTGTCATGTAACATCACATTATATCGTTTGACATTATATCACAATATATTACATCAATCGATTTGTGATGCATTTATTTTTGAGTATTATTTAGTCCTTAAGGGTATATTTAATAAATATTTATTAGGGTATGGGATAGAACCACTATCAAGCGGTAATATTTAGAGGTGACGTGAAGAAAGTGTCAGCTTTAAGGAAGCCCAATGATTTGCACTGAGCCTCTAGGCTATTACGAAGACTGTTATTTTTGTCTGCTGAACATATCTAGAATTAATCGCCAAAAATCGAGTGAAATGAAAAAATTATTTCATAGGGTCGACACACACTAAATATCACTTGAATCTTAAGCCAGGAGGAAATGGGATTTCTTATTTCCTTTGGAAATAAGAGTAGCGCTGAATCTTATCATTAAGTCGAACAACTGATGAGCTGCTTTCATGAGTACAGAATTTGTCCTCTTCAGTGAGAATTACAAAATTCTAAAGTTATCAACACCAATTCTCTCGGGAACTGAGCTGCGCAATACTGAGTCGTCTGCAGAATATCTGGGACTCATCCTGTAAAGGGAATTAAGCTGGTCACAGAACTCGGAGGAAAGGATGGGTATGCGGAAATGGGACATGTCTGAATGGATAGTAATAATTCACGGCTAACATAACATTCCGCACCCAGAAAAAAAAGGATTACTGCATATCATCACATTTCAAGGTAGTTATCCTGGTTAGAAAGGAATGGGATAGAATAATACCAGAAGCATCGTTTATTCTTTATTTTTATACGGGTCGGCCGTAGATAGCAGGTTGGGTGTCGGAGTTTACTCAAGGGATCTTGGTATATGCAAATCCTTTCGTTTACCGGATCCAAACTAGATAACAGAATCGGTGGCAGAGTTTACTCAACGGATCTTGGTATTTGGGATCTGTTTTTCGGGCGAAATGGGTGGCTATACGTCAATTATTTCAGCTCAATGGTGTTCTTAGAAAATCGAATTCACATGTGTCTGGATTACCAAGCCGTAGATTACTTAACTTAATGGCTAAACAGTTCTCCTTGAACTTGGTATGGGTGTTTGGTAACATACCGGTTAAAGAGATGGCGGACGATTCCGATCTCGTAAGAACACTTGGACATGCCAACATGTAATTAATTAAAGATGATAACTTATGATGGAGTCATCTCAATGAGTGTATTGTGACTAAAACATTATGACCCGAATGGAACAATAGGAGGTCGCGTAACCTTATCGCGTTAAAAAAAAGGAGATATATACAGTTATACGTCTTCTTACCGGGCTTACTCTAGAGAGGTTGGGCATATCAACTAACGACTTTTGCAGAAATGGTAGGCGAGCAAAGGAACCTTAAACTTTAATGTTCTCCTTTGCGAATGTCTCGCTTTTTGGAAGAGTGGATTGAAGTTTCTAGGTGTGAAAACCTATGGGGATTTGAGCGAGGTAGCAGGAGTTAAGATATGGTGACTATTCAGTTTTGCAGACTCCACACATTGGTGGTTTGATTCGTCGGTGGGGGTCATTAGGATCCTTAGCATGACGATGATCTCATTAAATGGTCAAAATATCTTAACTGGCCACTTCCCACTATTATATATGCCACGACGATGACATCTGATGAGTCGACGGTGAAAATTCTTGAGAGAAAGGTATTGCTAAAGATTTATGGTGCTCTGCGCGTTGGCAACGGCGAATGCCGCAGCCGATGGAACGATGAGTTGTACGACATTGCACGACGGCGATTTTGACATAATTCAGCGAAACTAGAAACATTGTCTGCGCCATCTAGGTAATGTGGTCCAGTTGGATAAAAATACTACAGATTTAAAGGAAAGAAGAGGAAGACCTCCACTCTGTTGGAAGATTAGTTGGAGAAGTACCTGGCTATACTTGTATTTTCTAATTGGCGCCAAAGGAAAAACGATTTTCGCCCTTTTTGTAGCTCGGCTATAAAAGCGTAAGCGGTGTCTTTGCCAGTAAAGAAGAAGAACAATAGTTAAGAAGTTTTGATGTGGTTAATATCCTGTGGTGATCCACTATGACCCAGTAAGATTCTCTTTTCGAAAAGAGTTGAACTGAATTACGAAAAAAAATTTGCATGTGTTGCTGTTTGCTTTCGAAGTAAATTTCTTGGAATCAAAAACCGTGCAAAATTTGTTGGAGCTCGGCAGGAAAGCTTTTTTACGCTTTTCGAGCTTTTTTGACAGAGTTTAGATTACGATGCCTCACAGATTCAAAATTATCACGATCACGAAAGTATAAAAAATTATGTATTACGTGTTTTTTTGGAAAAACATTTAACGTTTTTTTAAGATTTGATACCCATGGAGAAAATATTTCCCATCTGCATTTCGCAGCACGACTAGTGATCATCTGGTACGATGATACGTACATAATTTTAATAAATTAATTTCCTTACATATCAACTTTCCAACCTTTCCAACATGATACCTACGTTCGTGGATAAATTAAATCCATATTGAGTGCCTTAAATATTTTTGGTCCTTCATCATTTGCATTATCACTGCCGCTGACTAGCACTTGAGAATATCCTGGCGTGTGTGTGAGCTGTTCGCTGAGGCAGACGCAGCCAAAGAGCAGGATCAACACTTTTAAAAAATGTCTGTGCCACTGATACATATTGTATGTTATACGATATATATATACAGGTATATATATATATATACAATTTAAGCGTTTATTAAACACAAAAATTTTTCAAAAATTTAATTTTAAATCATGCATAAAATATAAACACGTGTGACATTTTCTGATTTTGAAAGCTCTTTTGAACGAACACTTTTTTGTTGCAATGAAAATGCAGTAAAACGCATGCGCATGCGTTTATTTAAAAGAAAATATATATTTTTTCTACAAGCGTTTTTTATTCGTTTTGGTTTTTCAAAAAAATTTACCGTCGCGCCAATTTCTTAGGAGTGTACGTAGGAAATTCTAAATCTATACTGAAAGCGCTCCAATGAATTTTTCATATTTTATCACTAGCGGTTTTTTTGGGGGGTAAAATCAGCTAGTTAGTACAAATAACGAATGTATTGGTTGGCCTAGTAAGTCAACATCATATTTAACTGATCTACATTTATTATTTATTCACTTCCACGTTTCGCGCTTTCATTTGCTCCAAATAGTAATATCTTGAATTATCACCGCAGATACATGCATACCCACATATAGCTATGCTGCGAGTATATGCTTCATTCTTTATGGCACATGGTTAAGTCACACATTTTTATTTGCTTGTGTGTGTGTGTGGTAAGTATATGTAAACAAAGTCAATACGCCATCGATCTGTTTAATGGTCAGAATCGTATCTGTCCAACTGCTAATGTGAGGTGTCACTTTCGTTTCATGACATATTCTTTAAAGCTTAGCGTATATACATACATATATATGTACTAAAGATATTATGCACATCTTTATACCCAGCCTCAGTTACTGCTGCTGCTGTGAAAGCTACTTTAGTTATATTTTTCTGGTAGGTAAAAACGTGATGCCCTAAAAATTTGTTTAAGTTTTTTTCACATAAATGTTTTATATCGAAGAATATCTCGGGGGGGTTTTTTTTTAAATATTTTTGTATACCATCTTTTGAGTTATTGAAAATTAATTTTGATCACCTACATATGGACCACTAATATCTATGGCCTTTTGTAATTTTCCAATAGCTTTATATATCAATCAGTGAAGAACTTCTGTGGCTTTTCGGCGACAAATGATTTTCAGCAGCTCTTCGCGTTTTTTTGCCATAAAGAGAGTTTTACAAAGCCTGAAGCAAAAAGTATACAGATAGTGTAATGACGGGGTTATATGGTAGCTTCAGTAAAACTTCCCTACCAAGTTCCAACAATAACAATTTTTCCACGGTTTTACATTTTAAGAATTTTACTTTCGAAAGTGAACCGCAACACATTCAAACACCTT